ACCTCTGCTCCTAGAGTAACTGATTTCTCAATCAGCAGAATGTGAGATGAAGCCTAAGAAGTCAGAGTCTGAGATGTACTGGTAATGCTAAGCAAACTGCAATTGGCTGAGGCATAGCATCCCATGTAGTAACAACATCATTGTCGAGTTCTTTAGTGAGGTCCTCTCCTTTGTTGATTGGTATAAGGCTTCTTCTTTGATAACTTTCTGTAGTTGTCACTAATTTGGTCCCATAGAACCACTGTACGTGTTCTGTATAGAAGTATGAAACAACCAAACTTTGTGGAAAATCATCACGCGCGAACGCCTCCCACACATACCATGACATGGATGACGATGCTTGACACCATTATTACCAGTAGTCACCACATGAGCAGCTTCTATCCCTGTGAACATGTAGTCATGAAACCTCGGTGTTCCACTGGTGGCAGTCATCACAAGTTCCTAATGATCCTGATAGTGAAAGCCATAGGCAGCCTCTCGCTGTGCCTGCAGAGCTCCTCCTCTCCAATATGATCAACGTTGTGCAGAACGTTCCCGGCATAATCAGCTGCAGCTGCTCTTGAGAACCATAGATAAGTTCCTTAAGCTTGCTTCAATCTCAAGACTTTGCGGGTGATTCTGACTGCGGGCATCTCCAGCAAAGAACTTGGGAAAAATACTAGCTTTGTCACCTCATCGAGGCTCATTTCAGGCTTTCTCAAAGCTCCTGCTTCAACTCTTAAGCCTTTTTACTGTAGGCTGCTCCTTTCACATTCCTAAGGAACATTAGCCTCCAAACGCAAAAGAGGTTCAAATGCAACCTTTCCCACCTCTATGTTCCTCCAACTGTTGTATGCCCCTAAACTGTTCACCAAGTGGCAGCATTCGGTTCAAAAGGCAACTCTTCGATCGTTTCCGGATCCAGAGCCGTTTTGAGCTCGTTGACACGACAGAGAATGTCCACCATGTAATGGAAATGCTTCGTGTCTCGCTTGATCCCGAATTTAGACTCCAACGACTCAAATTAGGACCTTCCTTGATCAACAAGACCAGCATGGCTGCATGCCGCTAGAAAGCAGAGCAAAGTGGACGTAATAAATCAGATCAGAGTGAAGAAGAATAGAAATTAAAGTAGTTGGTAGATAGAACAAACGGTAGGATAAATCATGTATATATAACAGAGTTACCCTACGATGGGTTTCTTCACCCAACATGGTATCAGAGCTGTGTTCACAGGTCACTTGCCACACGGCAAAACCCAGACATTGGCGCACTAGAAAATCCACGTGACTGCAAAAAGTTGTTAAAAGCCTGCAAGATCCACAAGATGAAAGATTACAAAATATAATTAAAGCAACGAATCACTTCTGATTCATGGCTGTGCTGGTGCGCCATGCCCGATTGATGGCCTGGTTTGCGCTGATTCTGGTACTGCCGCTGTCTTTTGCGCTGCTGGGGCACACGCTATCCGCTGCTCAACCGGATACGGCTCAACAAGGAGATGCTTGCGGTGGAGAGGAGCGAGGGGCACAGCGAGGCCACGCGGAGGGAGCTCTACTCGGAGCTTGGCATCCTGCTCGCCTACCTCGTCTTCGTGCTCGCCTTCTCGCTGCTGTCCACGGCGGCGGTGGTGTACAGCGTAGCATGCATATACGTGGACAAGAGCGTGACGGTGGCCAAGGTACTAGGCGTGGTGCCCCGGGTGTGGAAGCGGCTCATGGTAACGTTCCTCATCATGTTTGCGTACCACGTCACCTTCATCGTCACCGTTGGGCTGCTGGTGGTGGCGCTGGGCAGCGTGCCCGCCCTCTCGTCGCTGCTGCTGCTGTCGCTCGCCTTCTTCGCCCTACAAGGCGCTTTACTCATTGTGACCACCCATCTACCAATGCTCTACCAGATCCTCCCTCAACATCCTCTGAAACACCACCCCTTGTCAGTCCTGCTCCGACCCCATTGTTTTCCCCATCCATTGCACATTCTTCAAACACAGAACCAGCACCTGTAACCTACAGAGAAGATACAGGTATCCCGGTTCAAGGCACACCTAGTTGCTCGTGGATTCTCTCAATTCTACTTTGATGAAACGTTTTCTCCTGTGGGCAGGCTGACCTGGGCACTTGCAACAGCGCATGATTGGGATCTCGCTCAAATGGATGTGAAGAGTGCTTTTCTCCAAGGGAAACTTGTATATATGCGCCTTCCAGATGGCAAACATGTCGTGGCCTCAAACACCTTCAGAGAAGAACTTACGCCAGCAGAGCTCCTTTGTTTGGTTTTTTCAATTTTAGGGTTTCTAAAGGTGCAAATGACTCTATGTCCACGCACTTTCTGTGCTAGTTCGCCATGGCAGCCTCTCTTCGCGAGCGACACTCGCCCAGTAATCCTTTTCGATGGTACGCACAAGCACAGCAATCCAATTCTCTCGATTTTGATCGAGAAATTGTGTTCTCCCCTTTCAGGTGTTTGCAACCTCTGCAATGGCGGCGTGAATTTCGTTCTTGACAGGGACCCTCGCGCTCGCCTGCGATTCGCGGCACTCCAGAGCAACGCAGGGAGGGCTCTGCTCGAGAAATCTGGACGCTCTCGCGATGATATCTCTAGCATCGTCCTCGTTGAGAAACAGAGGTATAACCATATCTCTTCTTTCCTCGCGATATCTGAGAGAGATTTTCACTTGCTAGATCTTACATCAAGTCGGAAGCAGTGTTGCGAATCGCCCACTACCTAGACGAGCCATATCCATCACTCGCAACTCTTGCATTGCTCTTCCCACTGTTAAGTCACTCTCCCTTTCCAAATTCTCTGGAAAATCGGCATAAATCAATCTTGAATTTCCAGCTTTCTCCGAGACCCAACTTACGATTTGATCGCCAACAATCGATACTCACTCTTTGGACAGACAAATCACTGCCGAACTTCGGATGAACAGTTCAAAGAACGCTTCTTAAGCTAAACCATTTTAATCTCTTTGAAGAATAGAGGAACTTCTAGACAAAGAAGAACGAAGACCTCTCTATGTACAGAACAAATCATTCACTCCAATAGGTATAAAATCTAAAAGGATTTCTTCTTCTCCTTCTTCACCGTCCAAACCATCCAGCCTTTGGAGGACCCGCATCACTCCCGCCACCATTCATGAGCTTGTCCAGCACTACGTTCATATCCACAGCCTGTCCATTCTCCGTCAGCCTCTGGACCGTGGCACGAACTTGGTCTCTCGGGAATCCCATCGCCGCAACCTTGTCGATCACATCGTCTACACCCGACCGGCTCGCAGGCCTGGCGCTGGGAAGAGACTGCTGGATCGGCTGCGCTGTTGGGAGATGAGGATAGCCACCGCCGCCACCACCACCTCCGCCGCTGTGCATCCGCCCGTAGTTCACGCCTCCGCCACCATAGCCGGATGTCTCATATGACTGCTGCTGATAAGCTGACGGTGGTGGAGGCAATGCCAGCGGCCCTGAGCCTGTTCTTCCCGGGAGTGAGTCGTACATCTGTGGAGGCGGAGGGCCGTGCTGCTGCTGCTGCTGCTGCTGTTGATGCTGCCGTGGAGGAGGAGGCGGAGGAGCACCGTAAGATTGTGGTGGTGGTGGTGGTGGCATATAGGAAGGAATGTCGAGAGAGTAGTTGACGGGAGGAGCTTGAGAGTGGTGCGGTGGTCCTTGAGGATGGGAGACTGGAACTGGGGCTGGAGGATATGGCGGTGCTTCCGGCTGGTGAGGATATGGCTGCGGGTGAGGCTGCTGCATTGGTGGCGGCGGAGGTGGTGGCGGAGCTGCTGGGTTCTGCGGAGGATACGAGTAAGATGGCTGCTGCTGCTGCTGCTGGATCGCGTGAGGCACATGCTGAGGAGGATGTGGAGACTGCTGGATGTGAGTCGGCGGAGGTGGCTGGTGGACGACTGGAAGTGGGGGTGGAGGAGGCGGAGCCTGCTGCTGATGGACGCTGGAATCGAGAGCTTGAGGAGGCTGCGGCATTGGAGGTGGCTGCTGCGGTGAGGAAGCAACCGGCGGTGCTTGAACCTCAACTTTGGTCGTCGGCGCTTCGGTTTTATCTTGCTGCAGCTTCAGCTGAAACTGTGCCTCGTTGATCTCTTGCTTGTCTCTCACGACCTGTACTCCTCTTTGCACCTTGGAAAGAAGGACAAGTAGTGTCAAGCAGACCTTGTTTCTTCCATATACACATACCTCGCGAAGCATGTTTTCTAGCATCCGGAGTCTTCCATCAGTCTCGCCGTGGTTATTCGCGTTGGCGCTCTTAGACTTCTCAAAAGCAACCTCGAGACGCTGAGTAGCGGCTTCCAGTTGAGATAGTCGACCCCCCATCCCCTCCAAAACACGTAGAAGATTGTCGGCATACTTCTTCATGGTACGCTCCACAGCGGCGGCAGTGGCGGAGTCGTAAGCATCCTTGTCAAACTCATGCCTCGATCGAGTCGACTCGTACTTCTCGTAAGTTACTGGAGGATCACGCACCTACGCACAAACCCAGTGTTGTTAAAAGTAGATAGATCTAAAAAACCCAAAGGAAACGAAGAACAAGGAAGAAAAGAGAATACCTGCTGCTCGAAAGAGGGATTCGCCTGGCGAAACTTGCCCCCGGCCTCCTCGATGCGTGCCCCGCCGCCGCTACCGTTGCTGCGAAGCGGCTGGAAATCGTAGCTCGGAAGAACATCGTCGTTGTTGAACGAGTAAGTCGGCGAAGAATCCATCCTCCGGGGTCCGTTCTGGACGTAATTCGAGCTGCTGCTGCCGCTGGCATGAGCTATCGAGGGCGTGTTGGGCTGGAGCAAGTCAAAGAATGGCTCGCTGTGCGATCCCATGCCCTGATTATCCATCTCTCGCCGGCGCGCGCCGCCCGTCGCCAAAGCCCTAGTCGGATGGAGTTCAAGAACCTGGCGCTAGATCGCGATGCCGATGCCGCGTCGCCGATGCCTGTTCTCCCCGCGCGATTATCTAGCCCTAGAAGCAAGCAAGGCTTGTTTGGAGCTTTGGATATTCCCCTACTTTAATTCTATCCCCTACTTATCTCTAGGGCTAAAATCTCCAACGCCATGGATGCTGCTGGACCTTCGCATCGCGACTGGGAGGATCCCGCGGTGTTCGGCAAGAACAAGCGCAATCCTCACGTTCCGCTCTACTCGCATTCCAGCGTCCAAGGTGAGATTTGGAGCTGGCATTCTTGTGATTGAGCAATATTTCCTCGCAGAGGCTGTGGATTTCTGGATTGCGCGCAGCCAGGCCGATCGGGAGCTCGCCAATTCAGCTGTGTGGGACGACGATGCCGTCCCAGCTGCGCTCGATAGCGCCAGGTTTTGGTGTGAGGGAGCCTCGTCTTTGATCTCACTCAGTGGCTATTGGAAGTTTTTCCTTGCTTCCAAGCCCGAGAGTGTGCCGCATTGGTTCTACAAGAATCAATTCAATGACAGCAGCTGGAAGACACTGCCCGGTGAGTGTTTCTTCTTCTTTTTTTTTCGACGTTCTCTTGACAAGTGGTTTTCGATGTTGTTTCAATCGTAAGTTCCATCGAATTGGCAGATGCATGGATACGACACGCCAATCTACACCAATGTTACGTATCCTTTTCCTTTTGATCCACCGCTGGTACCTCGAGAAAATCCAACTGGATGCTATCGAAGATCATTTGTTGTCCCCCCCGAGTGGGCTGGTACGTTTCTTATTTTCTTTATTCTTTCTCTTTCGATGGTACAGAAGCTAAAAGTAGTCCGTTTACAGGACGAAGGGTGTTTTTAAGATTTGAGGCCGTGGATTCTGCGTTTTATGCTTGGGTGAATGGTGCTCTTATTGGCTACAGGTATAAAGTCTTGGTTTCTTAAGTTTCGGGCTGACAGACTTGGATTGTTACTTGCAGTCAGGACAGCCGTCTTCCATCCGAATTTGACATAACAAGCCTCTGCACAGAAAAGGAAAATATTCTAGCTGTTCAAGTGATGCGATGGAGTGATGGATCGTATCTTGAAGACCAAGACCACTGGTGGCTATCTGGGATTCACCGAGATGTGATACTGTTTTCAAAGCCGCAAGTAAGTACTTGGTCGGTGTTTGTTCTAACATGGGCCATATTATAATGTGGGATTGTTTTGATAGGTCATGATCAGCGATTATTTTGTGAAAACTCATCTTACCAGAGACCTGAAGCAGGCAACTGTAGAGGTTGGCGATGATGCCTATATCTTGAATATTTCTCATAGTATATTTTACTTTAGGTGGACGTGTCGATTGAAGGAGCAACTAAACTAACAAAAGAGATGGTTTTACGCGTGAGTGGATTTCTTTTTGACCCAGTCGAGAGTGAACAGCAGGAGCCTGAAACCATTCCCACTAAAGTCGTGGACATTATCTCTGCTCATCACGGACGAACAGTGCTGACAATTTCTGTCGACAATCCAAAGCTGTGGTCTGCAGAAAAGGTGAACTATTTAAATTTGACTTTATACTTTTCTAATGTTTTTTTCACTGACAGCCAAGCCTGTACACACTGGTAGTGGTCTTGGAGGATAACAATGGAGGTACTGCTGATTGCGAATCCTGCCGAGTTGGAATCCGGCAGGTTTCAGCTCAACCAAAAGGACTGTTGGTGAATGGTCAACTCGTGACCATATGCGGTTTCAACAGGCATGAACATCACCCACGCCTGGGAAAGACAAACGTGGAAGCATGTATGGCGAGGGTAAGTCTCAAATTTTCAGTTCGGACTATTTCAAAATGTCTTACGCCGTGCTTAATTTCTAGGATATCGTTCTCATGAAGCAGCATAATGTGAATGCCGTCAGAAATAGTCATTATCCGCAGCATCCTCGCTGGTATGAGCTGTGTGACCTCTTTGGACTGTACGTGGTGGACGAGGCAAACATTGAAACTCATGGGTATGAGCTCATTGAATCGACCCTTCGGAAACACCCGGCTGGCGAAGCAATGTGGACACACGCACTACTTGACCGCTTTGTCAACATGGTTGAAAGGGATAAAAACCATTCGTGCATCATCATATGGTCTCTTGGTAATGAATCGGGATACGGACCAGCGCATGATGCCATGGCTGGTAAGCTGCTCAGGTTTTTTAAGTTTTCCTGTATGCTTAAGATGATATTTAGCTGTTGCATTGCAGGTTGGGCTCATTGTCGAGATCCCACGAGATTAGTGCAGTATGAAGGGGGTGGCTCAAGGACGTCTGCAACGGATATAATATGCCCCATGTATATGCGTGTCTGGGACACAGTGAAGATTGCGAACGACACTTCTGAACTTCGGCCTGTTATTCTATGCGAGTAAGCTTTTTATAATTTTGTTTTTATTGAAAGACTCGAAAACTTTGGGTTCTACAGGTATTCGCATGCCATGGGAAATAGCAACGGGAACATTTATAAGTACTGGCAAGCTATTGACACCACCTATGGGTTGCAGGGTGGCTTTATATGGGATTGGGTTGATCAGGTAATTGTCTTCTCATAAATGTTTTTTGTAACGTGGTCTGGTTTTGAAGGGCCTCATACAAACGGAAGGTGGCTCAAGACGTTGGGCATATGGTGGTGATTTTGGAGATACACCCAATGATCTCAATTTTTGTGTCAACGGTCTCGTCTGGCCGGACAGATCTCCACATCCAGCTCTTGAAGGTACTTTCTTATGAACTTAAGCTCAGGTCGACTATACATATTTTGCAGAGGTGAAATATTGCTATCAACCTTTAGGGATACATATTGATGGCGATGAAATTGAGGTACGTTTGCTAGTCTTCCAAATGCAAAGCTGAACCTTTCATATCAGATCTGGAACAAACGCTCCTTTACCACTTCAGAAGATCTGGCTTTTGAATGGAGTTTATCAACTGATGGTTCCCTTTTGAAAAGTGGCTCCTGGAATGTACCACCTATTGAACCTAGGGAGAAGTACAGGATGCCTCTAAAAGCTGGGCCTTGGTCTTCTCTTTGCGACGATATATTGGGAAGCGATGTGACTTTGACTATTACAGCTACACTTGCAGCATCAACGCGATGGGCCTGTGCAGGACAGGTCGTTGCGTCACAACAATGTTTTTTACCTTCAAAGCAGCCTTATTCATTACAGGTATTTTCTATGTGAACTTCTTACTGTAATCCATGGGTGTCTGCAGACAGTCAAGTTTTCGGATCCTTTGTCTACTGATATTTCCACGAGCACGGTGGTAGTGGCAATACCTCAGCATAGTTGGGAGCTTAAATTTGACAGAAGTACTGGACGCTCTTCTTGGAGGGTAACGGTTTTCAGGTCGCTGTCGCTCTAAAATTCTGACATGGATTTTGTGCAGCTGGGGGACATGCTTTTGATGTCCAAAGGGCCTCTCCCTTGCTTTTGGAGGGCTCCAACAGACAATGACAAAGGTGGTGACAAGAGAAGCTACGCATATCGATGGAAGGCATTCGGGTTAGACCGCCTAGCAATCACTGGGACAACTGGTTTTCAGGCGAAGCAGCTGTCTTCTCATTTAGTTTTGTTGGAGGGGGTGCTTTTCATAGAACCAGAATCAGGGAGCGGGGACGAAAAGAGGGAGATATCAATAAGATCGAAGGAAGATGGGACAGACTGGTTCAAGGTTTCAGTGAGCTACATGATTTACAGCAGCGGCGACTTCGTTGCACAGTATAAAGTTGAAGCAAATCCGAAGCTTCCGCCGTTACCAAGGGTGGGCATCGTTTTCTCTATAAGCAACGAGTGCAATGCAGCGGAGTGGTATGGACGAGGACCGTTCGAGTGCTATCCCGATAGGAAGGCAGCTGCTCAACTGGGAATCTACAAGCAGAAGGTGTCTGACCTCCACGCCCCATATATTGTTCCTGGTGAGTGCGGTGGACGCGCAGATGTGAGATGGCTGGCTTTCAAGAATGTTGAGGGAGATGCTGGTCTGTTTGCGATGCCTTTCCAAGGAAGTCCTCCATTGCAAATGAGTGCCAGCAACTACAGTACAGAGGAGCTGGATAGAGCAACTCATGAAGAAGAGCTGAATGCTGGACAGGACATTGAGGTATCCCCCAGAGCTATCTTTTCACCTTTTGTTTCTTACTGTTTGTTTTAAACGATTATCATACTTGCAGGTGCACCTTGATCACAAGCACATGGGTTTAGGTGGCGATGATAGTTGGAGTCCCTGCGTCCACGATGAGTACCTCGTCTTACCACGAAATTACGAGTTTGCGGTCAGGTTTTCGCCGTTATCTCTAGCTGCGTCATCACAGGAGTTATACCGTCAGCGACTCTTACCAGAGTAAACGCTTTTGCTTTTCCTTCCATTGAAAACAGTGTCTGGCTCAGGCAAGTATCACTCGAGCAGGCGAGCTAGAAATCGGAGTTGAAGAACACAATAATGGCGCTCATATTCTTTGCCGCTATTGCCACGCTCTGCCGTATTGCTGTGGCAGTGTCCCCGTCTCCTGTGAAATGCGATGCATTGGGATGCAGCTTAAGGAACTACTTGGGGGTATGGCCAGACAGGATTCCATGTAGAGCAGCTCAAGTGTTCTATCCAGCAACAGAGGAGGAGCTGTTAGCAGCAGTTGCATACGCCGCGAGTAACAATCGGAAGATGAAAATGGTGAGCAGATGGTCGCAGAGTATTCCGAAACTGGCATGTCCAGGGGGTGATTCCGGAGTGATTATAAGCACCAGGGATCTGAATTCAGGCATCGTGGTAAATTCGGAGGAAATGACTGTTACAGTTGATGCGGGAGTTCTCCTTCAACAGTTGGTCGATACTATTTCCACGCTTGGCTTTGCACTACCGGCTGCTACATACTGGAATGCAGTTTCTGTGGCTGGAGCAGTGAGCACTGGAGCGCATGGAAGCAGTCTGTGGGGACGCGGAGGTGCTCTCCATGACTACGTTGTGGGAGTATCCTTGGTGGTTCCAGCAACTGAGGAAGATGGATTCGCGAAGGTAGTCAGGCTGGACGAGAATTCTTCCAAGGACTTGCTGGATGCAGCCAAGCTCTCGCTCGGAGTTCTTGGAGCAATCTCAAAGATAACTCTCAGCATTGAGCCCATGTTTAAGAGGTCGGTGGCTTTGGAAGTAAAAGACGATGCTGAGATCGAAGAACAAGTTCTGCGATTTGGAAGTGACCACGAGTTTGGGGACATCTGCTGGCACCCGTCCTTGAAGGCGTCCTTGTTTAAGCTGGACGAAAGAGCTCCTCTCGAGACGCCTGGAGGAGGAACGAACATATACAAGGGCTTTCAGCCATTTCCAGTAGAACGAGCTGAGCAGTCCAGGCGCAGTGGTAGGCTTATAGCAGCAGTTGTGTCTCTTAGTTCTGACTCGCTTAATATTTGTCTGATATGCAGAGGAAAAGATCGAACAGGACAAGGACGAGTGGACGCGTTGCAGGTTCTCTGAGATGGTTTTAAACAGCCGGGTGCCGAGTGGTAACGGGTACTTAAACGACGGGATCAACTTCACGGGCTTTCCCGTTGTGGGATACAACAATCTCATGCAGACCGCAGGTGGTTGCCAGGACGCGCCTCCTCGTTTTGTCATTGCCGAGATGACTGGGAGCTTGCCTGCGAACTGCTTGCAAGAACAGGAAGAAGAGGTGGACTCGGACGTGTGTAGTTGGGATCCGAGAGTCGCCGGTTCATTCTACCATCAGACGGCCTTTTCCGTGAGCCTTGACAAGGTGAAGGACCTGATCCTAGACATCAAGAAACTCCGTGACATGGATCCCAGCAGCTTGTGCGGCTTAAGCCTCTACGGTGGCATCTACCTTCGCTACGTGAAAGCGTCCAGCGCTTACCTCGGGCAGAAGGAAGACGCGGTGGAGTTCGACATAACTTACTACCGCTCCAGGGACGGGGGGACTCCCAGGCTCAACGAAGACGTGGTGGAAGAGATAGAACAGATGGCGCTCTTCAAGTATCAAGGGAAGCCTCACTGGGGGAAGAACAGGAACATAGCTTTCACCTCCATCCGGGACAGAGTCAAGGATTTGGACAGGTTTGCTTGGGCGAAGAGCAGGCTAGATCCGGCGGGCCTCTTCTCAAGCGAGTGGTCTGACGCTATCCTTGGCGGTGACAGAGACGGCATTGTCAGCTTCCACGATCACTGTGCCTTGGAAGGGATGTGTATTTGCAGCGAAGACCGCCACTGCGCTCCCGAGTCTGGATTCTTTTGCAGGCCAGGCAAAGTGTTTGTGTCCGCCAGAGTTTGTCGCTACGAAGGTGAAGAAAAGGCCGGTGGTGGAGTCAAGCCTATCTATAGCTAAAATTCATCAAACTAGCGTGGATAGTAGAACCACGAAGTGGAAAGGTGGTCACCGATTTTAATTATAATCTTATTTATCACGAGAGTGTAACAACTTCTTATCCACTTGTTTCACCTTCATTGCTGGGACTTCTAACATTGACAAATTCCACTTCAAAGCCGAGATCCAGAAATAATTCTCTCTTGTCATCGTTGAGTAGTACCTCATCGCAATGCAAATCCTCCTCTGTAAAATCTGCATCAATGGGAGCATTACCATTTAAATGCTGGGCGGCATTCATCTTTCAGTTACAAGAAGGGTTTACTTACATTATATAGCAGCTAAAAACCATAGATTAATTTGCTTTGGAATTCTCGTCTATGCAAGGACAGATTTTCCACGCGAAAGAATGCTCTGTTACTAAGCCAAAATTATAAATTTAGGGCTAGACCCCGACATGTCGCTAGTGCGGTCATTTCTTGATAGTCGGGAAACCGGCCGTGATTGATCGAGCTGAAAGTCTGGAATCGGAGGGCTACGAGTTTGTGGGGGAGTTGAAAGATCTCACATACGACGAAGTGATCCAGTCTTTGCTGCTAAGGAGCTTGAGCCGCACCTCAAAGGTATGTCTTCTCCCGCTTCGCGTTTGTTTGTATGACTGTTGAGACCCTTGATTCTGTTCTGTTGATATTTTTTTCTTCCAGATCTAATACTAACTTTGTTTTGTTCTGAATGTTGCAGTGCCCTATTGAATCGGTGAGCAATTGCGAAAGCCCTTTGATTCCTTGTTTTCTCTTTGATCTGTGCATGCATCCATGTCGGAAGTCCCACTTTTTGTCTAGTTCTTGGTATTCCTAGTGCGCCATAAAATCGGCACAAGGTCTTGGATTTGGTCTTGGGTGCTTGTGTCTGGCTTGTGGCATCTGCTTGGTATGTGGCCCCTTGCGTTCTATTAATGCTGTCTGTGCCTTCTTCGGCTTAGAGCTCTTCTCTCTGGGATGACTGTTTTGCAGTCATTTCAAGTTTTGTATTTGCCTGCTTGTAGCAGTTCTTGCGAGCCACATTGACGGATCGTCCAGCATTTTGCATATAATTTTGCCATTCACGTCATAACCACCTTCAACACATCGGCTTCGCAAATTCAGGATGTAAACAACCTCGCCAACCTTGCCCATTTGGCCCAGCCTAATAATCCAGTGATAGCCAAAGAACGATTTCTCTATCCCTGTAGTGCATAGGACGATGAAAGAAGTGAAGTTGTTGAGCCGTTCCTGGATTTTGGATTCTAGACTCGCATACGCCTTTCTTTTCGATAGCAGGAAAGTTTTGTCATAATTTCGCAGTGCATCGCTATCTAAAATCCAGAATTTAGAATCTGCAGTATCAGTAGCCCTTACAATGGCCGCCACACCAGCTGGTACACCTGAAGCAAGATACGAATGCACGGATCAGATGATAGATGGGAAGCAGGAGACGCTTTTACCTGGCAAGTGTCGAGTTCTTTTGGTTTGCTATCTAAGAAGAAAAACTACGACGAGTTTGGTAAGGGGGGACTTTGTTGCATGCTTTATATGTCGGTGTGGTCCAAGGAGGAGATTGGGAAATTCCTTGACGACTTTGAGCCTTACTGAACTAGTTACGGGAACATGAATGTGGTGGACAGAGCGGAAGGGCTTGACAACTTCGATTATTTGGGCGGAGTTCCTAGATACGTACTGCGTACAACAAAGCTGGATGAGGGGAAGGCCAGGGCCAAAGCTGCGGTTGTGTTGTTCGGATCAAGTGCATTCAAAGCGGCTAGGGTTTTGTCAGGAGGGTACGTGAAAGAAGTCAGCGACTGCATTCTGCACATCGTGGCAACTGAGGACCTCAGCGAAAAGACATATCAGTTTGCAAGTGAGGCTTTGATGACAGAGCTTGGGAATCAGTATATGCTTGCTGGAGCTGTGCGTGCTGCTCTTGGGTGGGGGAAGTGTTGAAGGGTGGTGATTTTATTATCAAGCAAGTTTACAATGACGGAAGCTCTGGTGCTGAGACTTCCCAACATATTGGACCTCATATCATGCTAGAGGCAAGTTCTGCTGGTGAGCTTTGAGCAAAGATGGGGATGGGCAAGTATGTGAAACCAACTTCTAAAGTTTTCCGAGCATTGATTCTGGTATGGATGAAGACATTCCTTCAAGAGACTGCAAGTGGCTTAGACATGGTGGATGCTGCATTGAAGAGATCAAGCTACAGGCTGTGGTCGTGTGTTCCAAAAGAGACGTTTCCAGTAACTGGATGGCAGCAATACAAGAATAATAAAGATGGGGTCTATGGGAAAAGAAATGCAGTATTTGGGGTTTGTTGTTCAAGTGGACTATGAGGATGCACGATGAAACTTCTGTTTATATATATATATATATACTTGCAATCTTAGAGATTTAGCTTAAGAGAAAATCAAAATTTTTAATACAATTAAATACATACTACTCATTTAAGTTTTTTTAAAAACTGATGTTTGATAAATTTATTATGATTAAATAGATGAAGTTGAAAAAAAAATTGAGAAAAGATTTATATATGTCGCATATTTACTAGTCGATTAATCAATTTAGCAATTGATAAAATATTCAAATGAATCCAAGCGCAAGTGTAACAACTTCAATTGACCGAAGTATAACTGCTGATGAGGATAATTTAGGATGAAACTGGTACTTTTTCAGTAAGATGTGCCAGTGTGCCCTGCACAATACTATGATACATTTATAATCAAGCTGCTAAAGTTTATAAATGTTCTTCTTTGCTAGATGGGTATAGCTTTCAAGTTAACTTTGCTGCATTCTTTCAGCCTGTGTAAGTTCGATTTATGTTAGGTTTCTTAGGTTTGTTTCTTTAATCCGTTATAATAATGATTTAATGTTAATTTTCTGTGCGAATCGTTTTTCCTCTTTTCTTAGAGCTTTTTATGCAAGCGGCAACTTCAATCTCACGTAAGCACGCTGGTTCTCAAGAACAGGATGAACTTTAAAAAGCTTTGACCCAGGCCCTGCTGAAGAATGCTTTTTTTCTCTCTCCGGACAGTCATAAACACATCTAGTTTTTCAGACTCAAACTTCAATTTTTTTGTCCATTTGTGAACATAAGAAGGCCACAAAGGATCAACAACCAGAGCCAAAAGAGATCCCGAGTAAGTCGTTCGCCTCTTTTGTTTGGATTGCCAAGGACATCTGGCTCCCTCAAAATGAAAATAGGAGAGATGCATAGTGCCCGTGCCCTTCTTTTGGCTAAGACATGGTTAAGGAAATAGCCTTTTTATTCGCCTATAAATTGCTGTTTGATTGATTGGAGGACGTCGGGCGCCCCGATGCCAACGACGAATACGATGACGACGAGCCGCCGCGGCGCAAGAGGCGATCGATGACGAGGAGGAGGAGCCGCATCTGAAGTACCAGCGCCTGGGAGGTAGCGTTCCCTCTCTTCTCTCCAGCGACACGGCCTCCTGCATCATCGTTGCCGGGCGGATGATCGCGCTAGGGACGCACGGCGGCAGAGGTGCATTTGCTGGATTACCAGGGAAACCAGGTGAGTGTCTTATCAGTTTTTTTGGATGGAGTGGAATGGAATGGGGACTTTTTCCATCCAGGTGAAGGAATTTGCTGCTCACACTGCCACTGTGAACTGAGCTTCGATGGCGCTGGAGAATTCGTGGGGAGCTGCAGCGATGATGGATCCGTGCTGGTGAGCAGCCTGTATACCGACAGTCACGAGAAGTTCCACTACGACATGCCTATGAAGGCCGTCGCTTTGGATCCAGACTACCGCAAAACAAAGCGTTTTGCTGGCGGGGGACAGGCAGGACGTCTCATACTCTACAGTAGCAAAGGCTGGTTTGGTTCCAAAGGTTATCAGGTAGCTTAATCTCCATTTTCTTTTCATTCTTCACTGTTTTGTCACGATCACTGTTTTCGCAGGACTTGGACTCGGGAGAGGGTCCCATCCATGCTATCGTGAGGAGAACGAGCGTTATCGCGTGGGCGAATGACAAGGGTGTAAAACTGTTTGATACAGGCTCACAGCAGCGTCTTACTTTCATTGAAAAGCCAAAGAACACTCCAGACGCCGAGTACTTGCGTCCCCATCTAGTTAAGGTTCGTGCTTATATGATATTTCTCTCCTATAGCATATAGTTTTTGTTTTCCAGGATGATGTGCATTTGTTAATCGGCTGGGGAAGTTGCATCAAGATTGCTGCCCTCAGAGTCAGGGGAGCTGACTTTCCTGGAGGCCTCAATGCAAGGTTTAACCTTCTCTTGGGGACAAAGTACGTAAGTACGTCGAGATAGTATCAGTTTTGCAAACTGATGACGGCATCTGCGGCCTGGCTTCGTGTGCGGAATCTCTTATGATTCTTACTAGCAAAACGGAAACAACGGGGTACACCGAAACAGGTACATGGCTCGTCTATATTTCTTCAGTGCGTAACCTTAAATGCTAACTGTGTTAAGACCAGCCTGAAGTATGCATCTTGAACTGGAGAAACGAACAAGTGCTAAGAGATGCGCTCTCTATGCATAGTTGTGAGCACTACAAGGCTAAGGATTCAAGTTTGCTCACGCTCCATTCTCTGGTATGATAAGATGTTATAAAGAAAACTCATTTGCTTGTCGTTTGTAGGAAGTAGCTGCCCTGGTGTTCAGTGGGCCGCTGGAGACGAGCCCTTATACTACATAGTCTCGCCAAAGGACGTGGTTGTTGCTCGACGAAGGTTGGCTAGAATTATTTGTACAGGCAGCTGATTTCTTCTGCAAAATCTTTCCTGGCAGGGATGCGGACGATCATGTTCAATGGCTTCTCAGGCATGGGCGCTCTGACTTGTCGACGTTTTCTACGGTACAAAGGCATCAAAAGTAAGAGCAACATTCCTCGCTTGCGATTTTTTTTACTTTATTATATATTTTTTTTCTCAGGTGGCTCGAGAAAGCACTAGTAGCTGTAGAAGCTGGAAATGCTCGTGTTAAGCTGTTGGACGAGATGTGTTCTTTTTCATGGTAAAAGGCGATGACTGATGCATGCTCGTGCAGGTTGGTGCACAATACTTAGATCACTTGATCCTGAGGAGGGAGTACGTGCTTGCTGCTTCTATGTGTCCAAAGATCTTGCGTGGTAGTGTTTCGGCTTGGGAAAGGTGAGGCTACTGTTTTTATTTCGGAAGACGTTCTGAGGCAGACGAGTAAACGCAGACAGGTATCTCATTTCGACCAACTGAGACAGTTGCACGTTCCGGTCCCATTTATACCTGTTGTTAATCCGCAGCTTCGCAATACTGTATATGGGTGAGCTTCCGAATGTGCAGCGTGAGCTCTAACATGGATTTTTAAATGTCTTAAGGTTGTCCTGAATCGGTTGCTTGCAAATCCTGGGCATCATGAGCAGTTCTTAGTGCTGGTTCGGAGTTGGCCCCGACACATTTATTCTGTACCAACAATTATATCTGTCGCTGAGATACAATGCAGTGCCAGTGGAAAAACTCCTTTCTTACTCGAGGTAACTACTGTTGTTGTTTGAAGAGAGTGTAAGCTGGTACAGTAAGGATGAAGGCGCTTACAATTCTTTACCATTCTCAGGGACAGCTTGATAACGTGCTAAAGCTATATCTCGAGGTATATCCACTAGCATTGCTAATTTTAAGTCGTATTTTTGCAGCTGCAAAAGCACGCAGTCTTTGATATTATCAAGGAGCACCATCTTTATGATGCTCTTCATGGGAATGTAAGCTACATCTAAGTTGTATGTGGAACCTCTGATCCATGTTGCATTTCTATTTTTTTGAAAAAAGAGCTATTGGCTTACTCGTTCAGCAAAGAGAAAGAATTAGGTGGTTTCTTCTTTAGACAACTTGCCTCAAAAAGAGAGCTGCCAGTGTCTTTTACACGACTATTTACATGTTCGAACAAGACACAAACGCTGGAAAGAAATATCATGACTTACAGGTTTTGAGATTTATTTTACAGGAAGGTTGTAAACTATTGAGTTTATGTGCAGGTGCAGTTATATGCTGAATTCGAACCACGATTGTTGCCACCTTTTTTAATAGCAGTCAGTATTACAATCTTAACAAGGTATAAACTTGTTAATTTTGTTTTTTAATATGTAATATATTTTTACAGGCATATGATGTTTGTACAAGATTAAATCTTGTCAAAGAAAAAGTTTATTTATTGAGTCAAATGGGAAATGCAAAAGAGGCTTTAACTTTGATAATCAATGACCTTAAAAACATGATGTAAGCTCTTGCGATGAAATTATTCTTAGATGTGAACTGACAATGATTTCTTGAATGCAGGCAGTGGAGTTTGTGATGATGATTTATGGAATGAGCTTATCAACCAGAGCTTGCACAATCCAGATATGGTCGGTACTACTAAGTTGATCCTCTCATATTGATGGCTTGTGTGCAATGCAGATTGGCACGCTTTTGGATCATACCATGGGAAATATTCATTCCATGCAAGTTATAAACAGAATTCCCAAAGACATGCCAGTGCCACGGTACAATATCTCACTGTGACGAGGGGAAATCTCTATTGACATTGAACTTTTGTGCAGTTTGAGAGACAGGCTTGTAAAGGTTATCATGGATTACAAGACGGAGGCATTACTCAGGGAGGGTTGCAATAACATTCTCAAGGTGTGTGTATCAGCAAAACATAGAGATCCTTGCACTAAAACTCGTAATCCAAGCCAATTTCTACAATTTACAGCTGAAGTGCCACAACTCTTACAGGAAGGCGGTGGTTACCAGCAAGAAGCCATGCTGCATATGCTCGGAGCCCCTGGTTAGCCAGAGGGTGGCAGTGTTAACGCTTTTCTGCAGCCACTCTTACCACCTTAAGTGCCTCCAGGACATGAGTCCTGGTAGTGCCGAGGAGCAAAGCTTGCAGAAGGTGACGAACAGCAGCTGGACGAGCATTACTAGTACTACAAACGCAATCTTTCTTGGGTGAAAGAGTTCCAAAAAGAGAGGTGGAGGTGGAAGAAGAGTAAAGAAGTGGTGAAAGAAGATAACCAAAAGAAAGCAAGGATCGCTAGCTACTGCTGCTGCTACTGCTGGTATTCATCCCTGTGTACGCACCACCAAAAACCGAAAGGAATCTCTAATGCTTCTCGATTTTGCGAAACGGTATCACTTTTCATTGTAAACTGTCACATATTGGTAAATGCATGATAATCAAGAGATAGAATAGCGTTAAAAATATAATATATTCAAGTTTATTATTTATCGGTTCTAATTATAATCAAAATCAGTTATTATTTCTAAGACTCGACTGTATTGACACTAGTTTCACCTTCATCGCTGGGATTTATCACAGAGACATTGTCAAATTCCACTTCAAAGCCGAGATCGAGAAATAATTCTCTCAAGAAATAGAAATCGTCATCGCTTAGAACTTCCGACAGTACCTCATCGCAAGACAAATCAACCTCCCCCGCAAAATCTGCATCAATGCGAGCATTAGCATCTAAATGCTGGGCGGCATCCATCTTTTAGTACAGAAAATAAACCAACCAAGCCTTACACTTATATGGGGGCTAGCTGGAAAAAGACAAAACTGCTGCGGAACGATCTCGTTGGAAGGATTTGCAACTCACTATGTAGGTGTAGGGCCCCTTGCTCTTTGTAAACATATTGCCAAGGTCTTGCGACGTCCCCACTAAGCAAAGATTCATTGGTTTTCCAAATTTTGGCGGGAGGAGGGGATATTCTTTTCCCATTCGCGGTTACTTACACCCTTGGAAAAATCTATTTAGAAGTAAGCAAGGAGTCACGCCACCAGGTTGCGAGCAACCATCCCTTCCATGGTAACGCCAGGACCGAACGCAAGAATGACCCCCCACTCGGGATCCGGCTTGTCGGCCGCGGCGTTCACCTGTCGCATGTAATCCAGCACGTAGATGATTGTGCTGCCGTTGATGTTGCCATAGTCCGACAACACCTGCCGGCTACACTTGAGCTTGTCCCCTGCCAGCTGGAGCTTCTTCTCGCAGGCGTTGAGGATCGCCGGGCCGCCGGGATGGATCGCCCAGAACAATCGATCATAGTCCACGCCGCCCGCCTCCACTCGCCCCGAGCGCTTGAGCAGCCCCTGGATGAATCCCTCCACCTCGCTCTCGATCATCTGGGGCAGCTCCCTCCCCAGGCTAAAGATGATCCCATCCTCGGTCAGCCGGCCATCGATGGTCTTCTCCGAGCCCGGGACGAAGCACTGGCTCGCGGTCACCAGCTCGTAGCACGGATTCTCCGATGGTAGCGGGTCGGCGCCGATCACCACCGCCGAGGCGCCGTCGCCAAACAGCGCCGCGCCCACCAGGTCGTAGGGACGCTGTGGATTCGGAGGACGCCAGCCGATGAGCGTGGTGTCGCTGATGACGAGGAGGATCCGGCTGCCTGGATTGTTCTCCGCCAGGTCCTTGCTCACCCGGAGCCCGCCAGCGCCGCCGCAGCACCCCAGCATGTAGAGCATTACTCGACTGATGTCGCTGCTGAGGCCGAGGTGCTTTGACAGGTAGAGGTCGCCGCCGGGGAAGCGGACCTCGCTCGAGGAGACGTAGACGAGGTGAGTGATGTCGGAGATGGGCCTCCCCCACTCGGCCAGAGCCTGGGTCGCAGCAGCCACTCCCATCTTTGTCACGGCCTCACCAGCGATTTCCAGCCTCTGTCGGATGCTCGGGGTCCCTGGGGTGTAGAACTCGGGATGGTTTTCCAGGATCTCCTTGGACATGACCACGTATCGAGTCTTGACTGTCGTAGTCTTGCCTGGAGAATTAAAAACATCATCGGTCAGTCCCAGAGGTTCCGGAGACAAAGAATTCGAATAAGTATACTCACAGAGCCTTTGGAGCTTCTCCTTGAGTGCTGCGTTCTCCACTTTGGTGTCCCGGAAGTAGCCATCCACCAGGTACTCCTGCTTCACCACTGTATCTGGCAAGGCCTTTCCAAAGGCAAGGAGCGTCGCCTTCCCCGGACGAGCAGCTCTCAAGTTCTTCCGCTTGACACCGCTGCTGCTTCCATTAGACATGGCGTTCTCAGCAGCTGTTGCCATGGGAGTGTAGAGCTCTACGTCTGTTGTGCCGAGATGCAAAAAGCTTGGAAAGCTGACACTCTCTTTGCTCAGGCCGGGCAAAAAGTATTTATATGTCGTAAAGCTCGATCGGGTGCCCGATCTGCTCCGTCGGGCCTGGGCAGGTCCGGGAGGCAGGCAGCATGAAGCGCAAGCACCAACCTTATTCCACCCACTTCAAACATTTTCAAAACACGCTCGACCTTTGGCATGGGAAAAATAGATTTAAGCTGGCATCTCACCAAACACGCGTGCACAAAAATGCGCATGTCGTGTCAGTCTAGACCCAGCATAGTTCTTGGATGACAGGATGTACCACTTCCTCAAGGACGGGAGAGATCTCGGCAAGACTTTAACGACGACTTTGAGAACCGCGGAAAACGAAACTAGAAGAAAACTAAAACAAAAGCGAAAAGAAAGAATGGAAGTGTACAAGGTATCACAGGTTTTGACTTCCAGGAGAAGACGTCACAAAATCAAACCAGGAAGACAAGACCCAGGCAGATCAGACGAAAGACCGAACGAGAACTTTAGACTCTCACACGCGCGCTCACTGTACAGACAAAATCAGCACCAGACGCATGATCAGGAAGGACGAGGAGGACGAGGAGGTTTCCGCTGCTCCCTCTTACCGTGAGCAAAGTGGCAGGAATTTCCAAAGCGGCACGTACCATGGAAGTAGTCGACACACAGCCTTTCTTTGTAGCAGCCAAATCCCACGTCCTGGATGGCATTCCGGCAGCACCGCAAGAGGTAGTCCAGGAGCTGCCTAGCCCGCTCAATCTGCGGCCAAGACCCGAGGACGACCACGATGCTCTTCTCAGCTTCCTCCTCGTCCGCATAGATTCCCACCTCGACGTTTGTCAAGCGTCGTATGAAATCGACATTCTCGCCACCTCTGCCGATCACTGCCCCGGTTACAGATCTGTAGATGTTCAGCCGGAGAGTTTCCGCCGAAGTGTAGAGCTCTGTGTAGTACTGCGGGTGAGCGAAAGGGCAAGGAGCCAGGTCCTTCGGACAGTAGCGGCAGACCATCCTCGTATCACCGCCGGGCCTCACAGCACCATCGAAAGCGTAGAAATCACTGGCGATGTTTTCCCTCCGAGCCGATGGTTCTATCTGGCGCAAGACATGAAGATGCTGGCAGCTCCTTGGATTGGGACACCCCGACTGACTGCATACAAAGAAAACCACATGGATTCTCATAGATCGATCGGCACTGCTGGAAGAAATAGACTTTACCTGAAGAAATGATCGTAGCAAACCCAGGGCTGATAAGGCTGCGGAGGTGTCGACAAGGAGTGGAGAAGCAGCGGATCGAGATAGCGGCCGGAATCACTGCATCGATTAGAAATATCGCATCGATCGATCGATAGGAAACGCGGAGATTACCCTGGCGGGATATTGAGCGAACCGCTGAGACCTTGCGCAGACGACGATCCTGGATGCTGCGGCTGATGCGGCTGCCTCGGGGTAGGAAATTCGTGCTCCCTGCATCGGAAAGAGCGGATTGGCACCGAAAATCACAAGCATTTCTACGTTACCGGATGAAATCCGAGAAACAAGCTTGAATCTCCGTGCTGGAGAACGGTGGAACCACCGGAACGTCGGGAACCGGCTGGACAGAGAAATAACTCGACATTGCGATCGATCGCGCGCCCGCGCCTTAGCCTGATCAAGCAAGCAGCACGAGAAGCTGTCTAGAACCCTAGAATATGCCCGCCTTGCATATCATTTCGAAAAGACAAATCTCTACCGTTCAAAAGCTAGATGCTAATCGTCACCGTTGATGGGCTGAGAAAATCGCCACCGATGGCTGGAGGAATCTCCTTCGCATCTTTTCTAATTCAAAAGTTAGGGTTCTTGCTTCCACAGCAAGAAGGTGGGGAAGCGCGACTGGACGATGGAGAGGAGCGTCTGCTTGTTGGATTTGAGGAGCATGTCCTCAGTCCCCGGGAGCGTCCCGGCGCTCAATCGCAGCGCCGCATCAAACAATTGGCCTCGCAGCAGCTGCGACAAGATCACCCCCTTGGCGGCGACGCATTCCTTGTAGAGCGGAATGTAAGCGATGATCACCTGGAGCTGGAGCGGGAGCTCGTCCAGATGAAGCGCCGAGTTCCCCTTCTTGAGAACTCTCATCACATTCAAGTGGTGCGCCTCGCCCAGCCTCCGCCCCCTCGCAAACGCTGCCTCGGACCACTGTTCTTGCAAGAAGCTCCGCAGCTCCGGAGTGATGGCCTCGTCCTCGGAGCGCGAGATCGTGTCTGCGAGCCTGTAAGTCGCCTCTGGATTGCTCAAGAAATCCGACTGGAGCAGGAACGCGATGCCTCCCAGTGACCCGCTGCTTCGTTCTCCCGCGGCTTTGATGATCTCCACGCTGAGAGTTTGCAAGACGTATCTGGGAACTCGAGCGAGGAGGTAGTCCGCCACCTCGAGGCGGCAGCTTGCCGCCGCCGCTGTGAGAGCCAGGCAGAGTTCCATGTCCTTGCAACCGCGCTCCACAAACCACAGCACCACTTGCATCGAACCTCTCTCCGCAGCTCTCATCAGGGGTCCCAGGAATGCGTCGGCTCCGCCGTCTTCCACCAGGCATTCCATGGTGTTGATCTTGCAGTAGTGAGCAGCGAATCCCAGAGCCAAGTCTACGTCCAACTCGACATTGCTTCTTCGAGCGATCTGCGAGAGAAAAACACGAGTTAAGTAGGCACGATCGGTCAAAGAACTAAAGACGAAAAGAGAGAAGATCGCGCTTGCCTGTAGAAGAATTCGAACGAGCTCGGTGCTTCCAAATCGCGAGGCCTCGAGGAAGCACTGGTTGACATTATCAGCACCCGCCTCCACGAGGATTCCCAAGAGTCCCTGCATGGCAGTCGCGGCAATCCCCGTCGCCCACCCCGGATCAATCGCGTTGGAGAAGAGCGTGAGTGGAAAGCACGCAGCGTCGAAAGCTTCCGTGATATCCTTCACAGTCAGCTTGTTCCCGGCCAGCTCTAGAAACCTCTTGAAAGCCATGAGCTGCATCCTCGACTCGACGATGGAGCTCTGGAGACCGCGGCTGCCTTCCCCTCGACTGAACTTCCCTTTGCCTCTCGAGTGAGAGCCAATGCACTTGAGCGCCCAGTCTGTGAATCTTTGCACCTTGGCAGCAGCGTCAGCTTTCATGTCTTCGTTCTCGTTACTTTCCTTTAGTCTATCGTGTAGCCTGTGTTTAACTCAGAGTTGATCTGTCAGTGCTGCTAGAACTGGGCTTTCTTCCGGTGTCCTTGACAAATAGATTGATCCAGGAAGATACCAGTGACGACGATCACCGAGCCTTTCGAAGATACCAGTCGATCGGGAAAACTTATCTCCAGGAAAATTTGATGGATGGACGCTTCAGTCATGGACTCGTCACCTAGGAAACCCAAGAAGAAAAATGCTATACACTGACACTCGTCCTGCTCGTCTCGAAGAAAAGAAAAGGAAGATCGTCAAGGAAACGTGTGTACCTTTGAGCCATGACGGTCACCGTGTCCGAGAGAGACATAGTCCGGCTTCTACAAGCCGAGACGCACGAAACCAAGAAGGAAGTACGCAGCGTTGCTCGCGTGAAATCGTCGGCGCCGGCGTGGATGAGCTTCTCGATCAGCCGCATTGCGCCGGAGAGCTCGTCCTCGGTGCTCAAGAACCACAAAGAGTCGAGCGCTACGCACAAACCATCGTTGAGGCGCTGTGGATCCGCCAAAGGGATGAAGCTCTCGGCGATCTCCCAGTCATGGCAGCTGACCGCGTTTTGGAATCGCCGGCCCAGCTCCGTCGCGTCAGCTTCCTCGCTCTTCTTGCCCCTAGACGATAATCTCTTTGGCGATTCGAATCGAAAGCCCTCACCTCGCGATAATCCCCCCACTCTCCTGCCACCGCCGCTGCTACTCGTCGTGTGATTCTCACCCATCATACCGCTGCTACTCGCCCTAGATTGCTGCTGTTCTTGCTGCTGCCGATTGCGCTCCTGCTGCCTCCTGGATCGAATCGCGCTTCCAAGAAGCAAGAATCCGGGCAATGGCAACACATCCTGCTGGCAAATACTGGTGGCCTTCATGCAAATCCATCGCCTCATGGGATCCACATTGCTTCCCACGCGCGGCGCCCTCGCTTTCCCCCCACAAGCCCTAGCCCAAGAACCCTAGAAAGCCTGACCGTTGGCCACGTCAACAAAACCCTTCAGCAGATTTGCCGTTAAAAAAGTTATAGGAATAATAAATACCATTTACCTTTAAATATTTTAAGTCTCTCCTTTAAATTGGATGAGACCAATTTAGGGCTCCTCCTTCCGATGCGGTGGGCGCGCAAGGCGATTGAGCCTCTGGTCTTGCTGCGCTCGCGGAAAGGAGCATCGTTCTCGTCCTCGGACGCCGGCGCCAGGAGCAAATGGATCAAAGTAGGGTCTGCGAGCTTGGGAGGGATCGGGACGCTGGCGCTGGCTTGGGCGCTCACTGGCGATGGCGATCGGCAGCGCCGCCTGAAATTGCTGTGGACTGTGCCTCTTCGTCTTGCTCGGGATGTGGCTACAGCCTCGGCCATTGTCGCAGGTGCGAATTATCAGTGTTCTAAGTTCCTTCAGTGTTGAATTGCTCGTTTGAGTAGATTATAAGTACTCTCTGTGGGGACTTGAAGAGGGCAGCTTAGAGAAGACTCTCGCCAAGCATGAAGTTCACTTAAGATGTGCCAATCGACTCCAAGCTCTTTGTTTCAAGAACGGTGGAATTTACATCAAGCTTGGGCAGCACTTGGGGCAATTGGTGAGTTTTTTCTGGGTCTTTTGCGTGATACGATTTTATCTTGCGTTTCAGGAGTATCTTATTCCTCCCGAGTACGTCAAAGTGATGCAAGATTCTCTGCTTGATAAGTGTCCCGTTTCTTCGTATGAACGGGTGTGCGATGTTTTCAAGTCGGAACTTGGTCGTCTCCCTCACGAGGTAAATACGTGTTTTTTCCTTGCCTTTCAGTCGATTTCTTTTCTTTTTTTTTTCCTTTGGATCACAGGTTTTCGTGGAGTTTGATCCTGAGCCATTTGCAAGTGCTTCTCTGGCTCAAGTTCATGTGGCTAAAACACACGACGGGAAGAAAGTTGCGGTCAAGGTATGCTTGGATACTGTGGAGCAAGCAGAGACATTTATTTTCCTTTTTTTTTTCCTGTTTCACTTTCTCGTCACAGGTGCAACACATGCATCTCACGGACTCAGCAGCTGCAGATACAGCTACAGTTGGTTTTGTTGTTAATTTGGTTTACTGGTTGTTTCCATCTTTTGATTACCGGTACTTCAGCCTCTCGAGCGCTGCATTTCTGCATTTTGCATTTCTACCTCGGAATCATTCCGCTTTTACGTTTACACCTTGATCTAACAGAGTTTTTGGTACTTCAGGTGGCTCTTGGACGAGGTGAAGGAAAGTCTTCCAAAGGTAAAAGCCTACAAAGTTTTTCGACATTTTTGGCTGGAAACTTACGCTGAATGCAGGAACTCGACTTCAACAATGAAATTGAGAATGCCAGAATGTGCATGGACAATTTTAAAAAACTCTCGCCGCGTATTGTGCCATTTATCTCTGTTCCCGAAGTTCACTTGGAGCTGAGTACCTCTAAGCTGTTAACAATGGAGTTTATCGACGGAATCAAAGTCACGTCGGTGGAGGGAATCAAGAACCTTGATCTCCGGCCCAACGATGTTGCTAAACTGGTAGGATTCGGACTTGCTTTTGGTAAACTTATTCATATGGTGCTTTGTTAGATAAGCGAGGCATTTGCACACATGATTTTTCGCCATGGCTTTGTGCATTGCGATCCCCATGCTGCTAATTTACTCGTTAGAGTAGCCCCGAGCGGAGGTGGTATACTTGGTAAGCTAGAACATCTCTAAGAGTTTCTTATAAAATTTAATGCGGTGTAGGACAGAGGAAACGACCTCAGCTTGTTTTGCTGGATCATGGAATGTACAAAACGCTCGAACCATCTATACGAGCACACTACGCTGGACTTTGGAAGGTTCGGAAGCTTCATTTGAAGTCAAAACTTACGATGATATTTTGTCTCGCAGGCTCTTGTTTTTGCTGATGCTCAGAAGATCAAAGAGCACAGCTTAGGACTGGGAGCTGGAGATTTGTACGTACTTTTTGCTGGAGTACTCACAATGCGGCCGTGGAGTCGTGTGGTCGAGAGCTCTATAGATCACTTAAACGTCCCACCATCGGAGGAGGGACGCGAAGAGATTCAGGTAGGATGTTTTCACTCTTCAAGCTCAATGCCTTAACTTGTATGAAATACTTGCAGATGTACGCCTCGCAATACGTCATGGAGCTCTCGGAGCTCCTGCGAAGGCTTCCTCGAGTTGTGTTGATGCTACTCAAGACGAACGATTGCTTGCGAACTGTGGATAGAGCACTGGTATGATTGAATTCGCTAGAGCGTGATGAGACTGATAAGTTTTCGATTGAAATCCAGGGAGCTCCAGTGAACACTTACGTGATTGTCGGGAGGGAATCCTCTCGAGCACTAGCGAGACTCCAGCTGCGCGAAGGAGGATCGAATTTTTGGTCGTACGTCAGTGTTTTAGTCCAAAGGCTGGAAGTGGAGCTGCGGCTCTTGAGCCTCCAAGTGATTGCATGGGTGGCTCTTGCATGGGAAAAGATGAACGCATCCAGGCCGTTGGTTATCCAGCAAGGATAATTAGCACTGTGCCCGGAAGGCTACACTTGTCAAGGTTGTTGACCCTGCGGTGTGACGCGTGGCAGCGCTACCTGGGGCGTCCACCGCCCGCCACGTGTCTACATGCAGGGCTCGGCCCTGGTGGTTTTTATTCGATGGAAGGAAGGATGAAAATAATCTTGGAAGGACTTGTGATTCGAGCATTGGCGAGGGTCTGATCGAGAGGAGTGTGTGAGAGAGAGGAGAGATTCACAGGTTTGATCTATCGATAGGAGATGGAGAGGATCGGGATTGTGTTGCTGCTGCTGCTGGCATTGGCGGCGGTCGTGGCGCAGGCGCTGGGCACCGCCAAAGAAACGAGCGACAAGGCGTGGGAGGGCGTGAACGATGTCAAGAACAAGCAGCAAAAGAAGGTGGAGGAGGCCGCCGACGAGGGGCGAACGTGGACGGATTGGGCGCGCGAGAAGGTTCATTCCTTCGCCGAGACTGGATCGAAGTAAGTTTCTTTGAAATATTTCGATATTCCGATCGTAGCTTTGGTTTCTATTGATTCAAGATGATTGATCCGTGTGCTCGGTTTGATCTTCAGGGAGGCCGCCGAGCAGAACGAAGCCATGAAGAATGTGGCAGACGATTTAGCTCGCAAGGTGTCCGAGCCTTTCGAAGAAGGTAAGAACATTGTAAACGATGTTCTTCACAAAGCCAGCGAGCATCTGCATGCAGTGAAAGAGAAGATCACGCAGACAGTCTCAGGTTCTAAGATTGCTTTTTCTTTCTAACGCCCAGCGTGATCCATTCCATGCAGGAGGAAAGCAAAACGCGAACAAAGCCCAGGAGAAAACCAAGGAGACTGTCAAGAGTGGGAGTGAGAAAGCCCAAGGCACTGCGAAAGAAGCCGCCAGAAGCGCCAGTGGAAAGTTTGAAGATCTCTCGAGCGAGGCCCAGCGCGTGGCAGCCGAGGCAAAGCACAAGGCTGGGAGCACTGCCGGGCAAGCCCAAGAGAAAGTGGCGGATGCCAAGGATGCCGCTCAGAAGCAGGCCGAGGATGCCGCAAAGGCTGCCAAGGAGAAGACCAGCGAGACTGGCGAGAAGATCAAGGAGGTGACCGAGCGAGCAAGCAGCGAGGCGAGTGAGAAGCTCAAGAGCGCCAAAGACTCGATCGGCAGTGGAGCCAATTACGCGAAGGAGAAGGCCGAGGGGCTCACTGGATCGGCCAAAGAACAGGGGAGCGAGGTCACCAAGAAAGCCAAGGAAGCCAAAGATCAAGCGAGTGAGACCACCAAGAATGCCAAAGATCAAGCGAGTGAGTCCGCCAAGAAGGCCAAGGATCAAGCGAGTGAATCGGCCAAGAAGGCCAAGGATCAAGCGAGTGAATCCACCAAGAAGACCACAGAGCAGGGAAGTGACGCTGCGAAGAAAGCTCAGGAGAAAGTGGATGCTGCGAAGCAGGCTGTGAATGAGAAGTCCGAGGCTGCGAGCAAGAGTGGTAGCGAGAAGGCAAAATCTCAATACGAGTCCGCCAAGGAGGCCGCGTCCAAGGCCACGGGCGAGTTGGGCGAGAAGTTGAGAGCTTCGCGCGACGAGCTGTAGAACAAGAACTACGTACCATTCTCTCGTTCGAGCTCGATCTGGTTGATATCACTTTTTGTGCTTGCTCGTTTGTCTACTAGTACTCCATTCAGTCAGATAAAAGCTTTCGTGTAAGATTGATCGCGCTGTGCAATCCAGGTGTTAGTATCAGAGCTAGAGTGTCGGTGCTTACCTTGGATTCGTGGAAAAAGCTTGGATCATAGCGATGATCCAAGTTACGAGTTTGTCGTACACTCGAGAGGTGGCGATTCGTACGCGCTACAGTAGTCGTCGATCATATAGTTGCGCCGGACGAATGAGAGATTTCCTTGGAGCTGATCATTCCATTTGAGTGAGCTCCACCACCTTTGGCTGTTAGTGTCGGTGATCTTGGCGTGACAATCATCTGGAGAAGTCTCGCAGTATTGGCAAGCGTCGATGGTAAATCCTCGGTAGAACGCTACGAATGGAGCGTGATCCCAGTCCACGGAGGAGGAGCCCCAGATGTTCGTGTAGATTCCCATGGGTTTCGTGCTCGGGTATGGATCCGTGGTGTTCTTGAAGACCCGGACTGGAATGTCGTCCACCATGAATCTGGAAAGAGCTAGCATTCGATCAAAGAACTCACTTCAAGAACTCTCACAACTTACATTACTTGGAAAGGATTCCAGACGAACGAGTAGAAATGGAAGTCGGCAGTGGGATCAAACCAGAGCTTGAATCGCTGCTCGCGCTTTCCCTTGCCGCTCACGAAGAGATTCGTCTGGAGTGTGTAGGACTGGCCAGTGGAATTCCCCAAGAACTCGAAATCCAACTCGTCGCGATCGTCCGTGAGCGAGGAGAGCTGCCACAACGAAGAGAGGATCGATCGCCATGGTGAAAATCTCTTACCATGTAAGCCACGATCGTGCCGGACGAATCGTAGGGTACGAGCTTGATCTGGAGGCCCAGCTGCCCAAACAAGAACCTGTCCTTGGATCCAAATCCAGCGCCGGAGTCGCGATCGAGCCTCAGATCGACCTCCTGGCCATGGCCGATCACGTCGACGTGATCCGGCGCCCAGGTAATATCGTAGTTGCCAGAGAAGGAAGACGCCGAGGAGGAAGACGAGGAGGACGAGGAGGATCTTGCGCGCCTAGCCGCGCCTACACTGCCACCGATCACTAGAATGGCTATGGCGGCGACGATAAGAGCTACCATGACCTTCTTCTTCTTTCTCCTGTGAAGAAATGCCGCCATTTTGTGGTGAGAGAAAGAGCCCTAGGTTTTGGAAGCGCGGATCGATGGAGGGGAGGATTCCCTCCTGGCGACTGCGCGGCCATTCTCTGGATCCTTGCGGGACGATCCGCGCCAGCAGCGCCTGGGTGCTCGATTCACGGCAAGAAAACGAGCTCGGGGATTTCAGCGTTCCAGGTTTGGCTCGCCAAGCTCAAGATCGTCGAGCGAAGGAGGATTTCGACCGCGAGCTCGCCGATGCCAGCCCTCCAGCTGTGATTTCTCGAGCTCGCGGCGAGGATGAGCTTGATCGAAATATCGATGTTCTTGAGAGGGGTACCAGCGGCATGCGTGCCACGATCTCGGCGGCGCCGCAGGCATCGCTGTTCCAAACTGGAACAGGGAAATCGGTCCAGGTATCTGGCGCCGCGATGAAGAGAGCATTGGCCCTACTCAGCAACGAAGATGCTGCCACTCCGAGCAAGAAGAGATCGAATGTGGAAGAACCAGCATTGGGATTTTCATCGCCAGGGGGAGGAGCAAACGCTTTGTTCCAGACAGCTAATGGAAAGAGTGTTCCAATCTCTTCCACGGCGCTCAACAAGGCAAGGTCGCTACTTGGTGGCGCAGAGAGCAATCGAGACGATGCATCAAAGCTCAAAGGATTTTCCACTCCAGGCTTTCGTGGAGGTCTCTCAAGGTTGCCTGCTTCAGTGCCACCATTCAAGCAGCCGCGACGTCGGTGGGTTTTCTCTCTTTTTGTTTTTCTTTCTCTCTGTTGTTTCGTTGAAGAATTCTTTTGTTCTTGGATATAGATTTACTTCTCCAATGGCTTTGGCATCCGTCAAGCGTTTCCAGCTGCCGAAAGATGGAAGCTCCACGGACACGCGCACGCTTTTGCCTTTGAGTGAGATTGATGGAAACAAGCCCCGTGCTCCTGCGAATCGGATGGCCATTGAGCTGAATGCAATTGGTCGTGAGAAAGGATTCCGGTTGCCACCTCGAGTGAAGTTGCGGGAATATTTTCAGCACCCGCCTCATCAAGTTGACAAGGTATGTCGAACGCTGTCATAACAAGACTGACGAACTTTTCATCCTGTAAAGCACTTGGTGTTTGTACCAAAGGAGATCCTATGCATGACATCGGATACTGCCAGGGATTACAAGATGAAACTGCTGTGCGGGAAGGCTGGTGCCTCTGAGCTTCGAAACATGCTTTTGGAAGGCGGTGCGAAACCGCATTTGGCAACCAACGAGTAAGCTTTTTATGATTTTGATTCTTCGTGCAAAAATTAGCTCGTGTTCTTGCTAGATGGGTGGAAAATCACTATAGATGGATCGTTTGGAAACTCGCATCGCAACAACGTTCATATCCTCGAAAAGCCCGAGGATTTCTTTGCTTACGTAACGTCCTTCGCGAGTTGAAGTACCGGTATGTGGTGTTTGTTCTGCACTTAAACCTCTAGCGACCGTGTGTTTGTCACAGGTATGTGAAGGAAATCGAAAATGGACACCGATCAGTCTTAAGGAAAATTTGTGAAAGAGATGCTTCGGCGGCACACACGATGATTCTGTGCATTTCAGCCGTGCGGAAGACGGGTGAAGAAAGAAATGAAAGCTGTCTAGTGGAAGTTACTGACGGATGGTAAGAGAACATGTAGGTAATAGTGCCATCTAACCTCATATTTCAGCTCTTGATCCAGGTATTGCCTGAATGCTGCATTGGACGCACCTCTATCGAAACAGCTGAAAGCAGGAAAGGTTTTCGTTGGACAAAAATTGCAGGTAACCGGCTTAAGCACCTCAAATTCTTGAGTGCCACCTCTTTTCAGATATCTGGCGCTTCGCTAACCGGCGCAATTGGTGGTCTTCCCCCTCTCGAGGTGTGGTGTTTCTTTTTTCTCTTCTATTAACTGCTTGTTTTATCTTTCTCTTCAGGCTTTTAGCGTCGCCTATTTGGCTGTGCACATCAATGGTACTTACAGAGCACACTGGGCAGATCCGTTGGGAGCTCGTAAGTTCTTTGACTGATTTCCTTTGTTGCTGGTTATGTTGACCAAGCGCAAGCCTTGGCAATTCCAGGCAGGCAGCGTCCTCTACCATTGGCGTTTAGATGTATCAAAGCTGACGGCGGAATTGTTTCTTCAACTTGCATAGCTATTACGCGGATATATCCGCTTCTTTATAAAGAAAAGTAAGCATAATGCTCTTTGTTCGTATATTGATTTTCTTTTTAATTTGGCACAGGCTGAAAGACGGGATGTTTGTAGTCAGAACTACAAGAGCAGAGAACGCCGCGCAGATGAACTTCGAGCAAAGGTTGGAACATGTAGATGCATTCTTTCTATTGCTGACTCTAGATTTTGCAGAAGAGCAAATATTGCAGAAGACGTGATGGCTAATTTCCAAAGTGACGCTGAGGCTTTCAACGAAGATGAAAGGTTTCATGAAGGAGCAAAGTTGTACCAGCTTCTGGAGGGTGCTTCTGATCCTGAAGTGGTGATGGCGGACATGACAAGCGAGGATCACGCGGCTCTTTCGGCTTATCAAGCGAGGAAACTGGTAGGCTCGTAAGCTTTAATGCATGCCTTGTTCTCTAAGCTCGCTTCTTGTAGTGTTCGAGCCAGGCTGCTGTGGAGAAACATGTGCAGAAAGCTCTTGAACATGCTAACCTTCATTCCAGGGATGTTACTCCATTTCTGAAAATTGGCGTCACTGGACTCCAATCTAACTTTATTGACGTCGCGAACTCAAATGGTTCCATCATGATTTGGAACCCAAGCGATACTCTGGTATGTGCATTCTTTCACTATTGATTGTTTAATCTTTGTTTGTAGACCAGGGAATTGGTAGAAGGAGCTGCTTACGTGGTTTCGAATTTGAAGCCGGCACCGCAATCCCGAGCGGGGAATCGTCTCCTAAGCGCCAACAAGTCGTCAAGGTGGCGAAAAATATCCTCCAAAGGGTTTACGTATGTAATGCTTCTTTCGCTTTGTCTTTCCTGACGCTGGATAGTCTTTCCAGATTCGAGTTCACTCCTCGTCAAGGATTACAGCTCTCGAGTCTAGTGGAAGTTCGAGCCTACAGGTACACACGCTTCTCTTTGTTTTCCATTTGACGAGTTTGCGTTGGATTGCAGTGAATTCGACGCTGCTGCTCTAGTCATATTTGTGGGTGAAGTTTACAAGAGCGGCGATCGCTTGAGGCAATGGGTGTTTGTATCGGACGGCTCAATGCAAGAGGGCGAAGCAGCATTACTGGCCATCGACTTCTCGGCCTCAGCGGACTCGTTCTTACAGTTCGAGTCCGCCTACTCCAACACAGTGGTAGGCTTTTAAGTTCATTCCCTTGTTTGTGAGTCCTGTGTGATTCTGGGTTGTCAAATTGTCAACCAGGTTGGATTTTGCAACCTCGTGAAGCAACACCCGGACGAGAGGAACCAAATGTGGGTTGCGGAGGCCACAAATCTCACGATTTACTCGTCCAAGCTCAGCTCGAGCGGGTATCACCACTTGTCCAAGCCTGCTGGATTGGTTTCGCGCTGGGCAAACACCTCGCCTCAGGTAACCAAGCTTCCTTTCTCGAAATCGAGCACAGCTCTCTTCTTTTCACAGGCGATCGAGTGTTTGCGGCACCGAGTCTTGCAAATCCTTTCGGATGGAACGTAGAAACAAGATATTCGTTTTCTTTCTCCTTTACAGCGAAACTATATCCTTTTGTGAGAGTTTTTCTTGTATAGATATGTATAGTTTACATGCTTCGCATTTTTTTACTTTCTAGTCGAAAGACGAGAACGCTGGAAAGAAATCTCCATCGTCCTTGGCCTCCTTTTCCGTGGTCTCCGGAAGATGCTTCCTGCAGCTATACAACACAGCCGCATGGAACGCGACGGCATTGTCCAAGAAAACAAAGTGTCCTCCCTGCGCGCAAATCACACCACAACGTCTCAAGCGGATGTGATCGCGAAATCACAAGTTTGTCAAGCTTACCTTTCTCACGCGGATGACTTCGCTTGGCACTTTCATTCGCTTGCTGGCTTCTATCCCGCCTTTGTAGTCCATCCAGTCGTCCACGCCATAGATAAACGAGGTGGGAACTTTCCAGTGGGGAGCACTGGGAGGAACCAAGAGAACATCAGCCTTGGATCTTTTCGAGTAAACAACCCACACCTTTCTTGGAGCGGGGATCTTGCAAACGCTCCAAACTTGAATATATATTTCAAGCACAGCTCGCCGCTTGCTCTCCCTGCCAGTGTGTGATAGATGTAATCTGCGAAACAAGAATGAGCTATTGCAAGATCTTCGAGGAAAAACACCGAGAGAGTTATTCGGACCTGAAAGTAGTGTCGATTCTTGCCCATTTAGAATGTTTCCGGATGCATAGGTACCAAAACGCGCACCGGTGTATCTGCGGACCAAATTGGGACCCCATGGGCCAAGACTCCTGTCCAGTGCAAGAGTGCAAGACATAAGCTTGCGATGGCTACAAACAAGCGAGAAAAGACCTTACCGTATTATCGCTTGAGGAGTCAAATTGGAATCCCAGAAAAAGTTTGCCACAGCTCCTTTCCATGTTGATCGGAACTGTATGAAGCGATCGGACTCAGGGGAAAACCCCGCTGGACCCACGAGAATGAGATGCTGGACGTGCTCTGGATGCTGGTCATACGAGAAATCGAAATTACCACCACTTAACTTACTTTGAGAGCATATCGAGCGGCAACATAGCCTCCAAACGAGTGTCCTAAGAGAATGAATTTGTCGAGGTTCTTGGCCTTGCGCCACTCCTCAAAGGAATCGATGAACCAAGCCTCCGTCTCTAGTTACAAAAAGAACCACGCATCAGCGCAAGAAAAAATCCATCCAAGTGAAAAGTCACAACTAAGTAGCTACGTGGGAAAACCAGAGCTAGCCAGGAGATTCTCATCTATCACTCACTCCAATCCATACCTTCCGTGCTGGTTTGTGAGAAACATTCCATCTAAGTAGAAAACTCTACGTGGGAAAGCCAGAGCTAGCCAGGAAATTCTCATCTCTCAATCACTCCCTCTCCATCCAGATTCCAAGCCATACCTTCGGTGCTGGTGCAAGTGAAATCCGGCCGGCTGGAAGCTCCCCACCCGAGCTGATCGATGGCTATGATCCTGAAATGCGCTGCCAGAGCATCGAAATTCCGGAAGAAGAAACCCTGCGAGGCGGCATAGCCGTGCACCATGACCAGCGTCGGCGCGCTCGCGGCATTCTTGTTCTCAAACGTGACCGTGTTGATGAATCGCGGCTGGTTGCTAGCGGATCGAAACCAGCGCACCTTGGATCCCGGCGGCCCCGAGCCGATATTCACCTGTTCTTGGACATAGGGCGTCCTGTGGATCGAAATATCCGATCAGAGGGAGAGGGAGAGATTTCCAGAGATTCTTCGATCTTACTTGACGAGCGTGAGGAGGCGCTGCTCGGATTGGATGATGTCGCTGCGCGAGGTCGGGATCCATCGCATCCAGCTCGCGAACCACAGCCGATCCCTGCTCGCCTCCGCGGCGGCGGCCGAGGAAGACGCTGGATTCACCTTGTCCGCCATTCTCCGCAATCCCATCACCGGCGGCGCGATGGCGCTGGCGGCATTTGAGAGCGCGATGAGGCGGCGCCGCGTCGATCGTTTCCTCTCCAAGAAACCTCGCCCTTCTTTCCTCCGTGCTTTCTTTGAAGAACACGACTGGTATTTAAACCAGCGCGTTAGAGCAATGGAAGGTTAGGGTTTGTGGAAAGAAGACACAATGGTGGGAGGGAAAGGCGCCAAGGGGCTGCTATCGGCCAAGTCGGCGCTCGATCTCAAGGATTCCAAGAAGAAGCCCATGTCTCGATCTTCCAAGGCCGGTCTCCAGGTGTGTAATGATCGAAATCTGTGCCGCGAGTCCAAAATTTCGATCGATTTCTTTCTCTCACACGCGCTTGGCTGTGTTCTTCGCAGTTCCCAGTGGGGAGGATCCATCGTATGCTCAAGACGCGCGTGGCGGCCAACGGGAGAGTGGGAGCGACAGCGGCGGTCTACTCGGCAGCGATTCTAGAGTACCTCACGGCCGAGGTGCTGGAGCTGGCTGGGAATGCGAGCAAAGATCTCAAGGTGAAGCGCATCACTCCCAGGCATCTCCAGCTCGCGATTCGTGGAGACGAGGAGCTGGACGCGCTAATCAAAGGCACCATCGCGGGAGGAGGAGTCATTCCTCACATCCACAAGTCGCTCATCAACAAGACGCCCAAAAAGGAGTGAAAGAAAGAAGTTTAGCGAAGAACACACGAGGTGAAGTTTGACACCCACAGCTCATTCATACTGTTCTTCCCTTTTCCTTTTCTTTTTTCCTCTCTCGGTTCTTATTCCTGTATTGGTGGTCGATCGATCGATCCACTCCAGCTCTAGTTTTTCGGGTTCTAGGATGAATCACACTGGAAAAACAAACACAGATTTAAGCTTGAAAGAATGAAAAGGACTGACTTCTCTTTCGTCGATGATGTTTCTACGCTAGCTTGAGTCTGTCAGTGGGGTAAATGAGATCCGGGTTTGATGCCAGGCCCGGATTCTTGTCCACGAGCTCCGTCCATCGCCCAGTTCCACAGGTCCGGGAGATTTTGGCCAGAGTATCACCCTCTTTGACGACATAGTAGCCGCGAGTTTTCCTGGCCAAGAACAGCAAACTTAGAGAAAGAGTCGCGAAAACTAGAAAGTTTTTGGTACCTCGGCCGCTTGACTGCTACCACTGCCAGAACACTCACGACCAGTGCCACTGCTCCAATCACCAAAGGAAGAACAAACCCAGTACTTCCATTTCGCTGCACGGAACTCGGCGGCTCTTTCTCTTTTGCCTGTGATGAAAGAGACAAAAAGAGAGATTTTAAGAAACCTCTTTCCACCTGGGAATAGTTTTTCTAGAGTACATACCTGGACGGAGCAGCATTGTTGATCCTCGACTTGCGGCGGCGCGCGATCACCACATCTCTCCTCGTCCACAAGCTCGGGATTGTTATCACCTTCGTCATCCTCAGTTTCGTCCACTTGCGATGACAATACTGAGGTCGACTGCTTATCCTCCTCATCTTGAAGCTCTGAAGATGCGGTTTCGTCCTCGAATTTTACAGGAGTCCCGCTTTCCTGCTGCTGGAGCTCTACGGGAGTCCCGCTTTCCTGCTGCTTGATCGAGGGTGGCGTTTCCATAAAGGCCGAGCCGGCGAGACTCGGAGACGATAGAACTTTGCCAATCGGCTGAGAAGTCTGCACAGCAAGCAGTCTTTTCGTTTTTATTGTAGCAAGGAAGGTGAACAGAAATCTCGTACCCGTGGAGACTTGTAGTCTGGAGAGGAGCTCGCCACCGCTGCTTGTTGCAAATGCTCTCGGATACCTCCAACTTTGTCCGTCGGTGGCATGGGACCTGCGTGAGCTACCTTATCAAAATCTGGAACCTGAAACATCACACCACACGCTTAGCTTTCTTCCAGTTTTCTTTTCTTCTTCTCACCGGCAGACTTTGAGCGCGAGCCTTTTTGGAGAGAGCTCGAATGCAAAAGCAGACCCTTCTGATATCCTTCTTCTCCACAACATCCGGGGGAGTGAAGAGATCGACATCGGGCAGGCCTATTCTCTTGCAAATCTGCGCAAACGCAAGTGGGAACATATATCTAGCTCGAGAAACAAAAATTGCTTGCCTTGAGGAATGAATCAACGTGAGAGTATGGGAGATATCGTCCACCCTTTGCATCGTTTGATGGTAGCTCCGAGGAAGGCCGCCTTGGAAATGCGGCATCCCCTCCAGAGCTGCTTCGTATAAGATCCTTGAACAGCTTGGAAACTCGAAACCTGGAGAGAGGCAAAAAATAAATAAATTTCTGGGAGGAGACACGTTCTTCCATTTCGGATTTTCAGATTGACTCACAGTATGTCTCCATCGGCGAGCAAATCCGCCAAGCTCCGATCTCCACCATATCGTTCCTCCAAAAGAGCTTCTAGCCATACCTTCGCTTGCTTCTGCGAGAGCCAAAGCCAATCCATGGAAATATTTCACTCGGGGCATTCAATCGATCGACTCGAGCGACAATGTCGAGAATCTACCTGCATGAATTCGTCGTCCAGCTCCCGGAACTGGACTGGCGACATTTCGCCAGCGCCTCCCTGCTGCGCCATTGCCCTCCTCCCTCCTCTTATCTCCGGGAGCCCTAAATCCAAAATCTCATAGCTCTCACTTGTTCGTCTTCTTCGCCTCTTCTTCCCTCCCCCTGACAGTGACCGTACAATGTGGCTGTTTGGATTGTGGCCCGGCCCATGCCATCGTCCCAAACTAGGTAGAACCACACAATATTCGCGAGGGCGAGGGGTTTATTTTGGCAAGAGGAAATTAATGACAGATATAGCAATGGCTAATCTTCCATAGCGAATCCCATCGCAAGCTAGATTATAGGATCGATCACGAGCTAAGCACCTTTTAAATGAAAATCTTCGTTCTTTTGTGCCGTCTTTTATTTTAAAAAATTTTCAGAGTGTTCGTGGCCCAAGCAGCATAAAGGTTACCTGGGCTGGACTTAAACACATGATAAAGCACCACATTTCTATCTCTTTGCATAGTCACAAATGCATAGCATGGTCCATCACAGAACTTATCTAGCGACCATATAACAGCCTGACTTGGGGTCTCTTTGACGACCATGTTCCCATTAAGTTCGACTGTGAGATAGCAATCGACTCCTCCTCTCCCACACACTCCATTCGTCCAAACTTGCCCCCGGTTTGCCTCATTCAAAGACAAGCTACAATCATCCTGGAGCTTGAATGTGTAGATCAAATTCGGGGCCTGGAGCTCAAAATTTCGATGAAGACCATTGTAGAAGATGTTGTCCAGCGTTGTCAATTTTGCTTGGCAATCGCCTCGATCGCTTCCAAATAGAATCTTCGTTTGGTTGTGAAGTGTTTCCATCTGTTGATTTGGTGCTATGCGATATTGGACTCCAAACATCTCGGAGACTGCAAGCATGCTGCTAGCTAGAAAGGCTTGCATTTGACCTCTTGTATACATTACTAGGTTTTGGATTATCAGTTTGATAATAAAGCCTCTCACTCTGATGGTGTTACCTGGATTGACATGGCAGAAATCCAGATTCGGGCCTGTATGATAAGCCAAGATGACGATGTCGATCACAACGTTATTTGTCACAATGATTTGATCAATATAAGCTCCCCCACTCTCATAGTAAGTATTGTCGTCGAAAATGCTCAGATTTTCAATCACTGCATCTAGAATCATAGTGACATCGGCTAGTGTTATAGCATTGTGCTGGTCAGAGAATTCCCAGCGCATGGCTTGAACAACACTAAAAAAGAAAAAAAGTGCTGAAATGAACTTCATATTCACAAAGATTGAATGATAATTTAAACATATCAAGATAAATTACTAATAATAGTCAACCAATTATTAATCATGAGGAACAAGGTTCAGAAATACAAAAATAATAAATTTAAATAAAAAGGAATGGATAAAACTTAAGAATCATCATTGACTTTTTATAGACCACGCCAATAAAAACCAAACAAAAAAAGTGTGTTTTCTCTGCTCTGGATATGTCTTGTGGTCCTATGACGTACTTGGCACCCAACCAAGTTCACAACAATCATCCAGCCATTTGTATGCCGGAGGTCTAGACTGAGCCCCAATGTCCAGCTTTGACATCAACCTATCGAATCATCGATAGCACACATGGAGCTGTACATCACTGCATTTTGATATATAACGCGTGTAATTCCAACGGCCAGAGACCAAACTTCAATAATACTATTGGATTAGAGACATTCTCCATGCGCAACTCCATCTAAAAGAATTGATTTTGCAAGTCCTCCACCTGATCCCACGAAGATTAGCCATCCCAGGATTGTTGTGACCTCACAAACACAGCATAATAGTGGTAACTTGGTTAGAAAGAACTGGTGTTTTGCACTCCAGCTTGTGACCTGAGCAAAATGGCAATCTGATTGCAATGCAACAAGCAGCTGCAATTCAGTCAGCTATGCCTACTTTCCACGGATGGGTCCTATGTATTACATACCCAGTGTCCACTATGGTGAGCTGATCTCCCTGGTAGAAGCATGCTATATCTGCAGGTCTAACAAAACCCATGATTTGGGCTTTGGCAAGGTTTACTTCCATGCCCTGAATTCACTCGGCACATCTAAGTTGACTTACAGTCGTGCTGTTCAGCATATACATGTACATAGAGATACATGTCTGAGAGTTGGTACAGCGTAGGGACCTTGCTCTGCAACATAGTCTCTAGCACATCCATATAGATTGCGAACAACTTCGGTGAGAGGGGGCCAAACCCCCAAGCATCCGCTATTTGCAAATGCAAAGCCTTCTATAATTCCACTCTACGAGGGAGGTGGGGATTTGGAGTTCCAGCAGACGCCAAACCAAAAGATGCCATGGGACACAGTCGAAAGCTTTGGTTAAATCAACATAACCCAGAAGTAACACTTGGTTTGCATGAAACATAGCAGTTCAAACAAGATGCGAGTAATACTTGCAAAAGCCTGCTTGACCTTTGTGCATACGGCCCATTCTTCTTCAGCCAGGCTGGCAAACACCTTTGCAAAAGTGCAAGCGTCCAATCTACATATGAGGAGCCCAGCCCTACAGATTAAACAACGGAGCAAGTTTATCTGACACCTACCCAGGCCAGTCCAACCGCCCATAGCATCTCAGCGTGATCTGGTGCTTTAATCGCAAATAGGCAGCTCCTCAATGGTAGACATGGTAAACTCCGGTCCTTCCGAATTGATCTCTTGGAGAACATGCAAGTTGTCGCTATTCAACTTGGTGCAGATCTCGGCATGTTTTGGTGACACGGATCGGATTCATTTGGCAACCATCAAGATTCGGCAACTCTCGCAGGGTAAATGATTGGCCTTGGTCTATATTGCAGATTTTCGCCTCCTTGCTGTAGACACACTTTGGGACGTGACATCCCCGTTTAAAGGTTGTACAGGGTCAAGAACAGCTTCATGCACTGCAACTATCTCCACTCCGCGAATGCGGGCCTGTGGACGCTTGGGACAAGTAGGAAGACGGTGACCAGGTTCGCCGCAGTATATGCATACACCAAGGGAGATATGACATTGTCGTTCTTCAGGGAGAAGAGTATGGGACGCCGCATCAAGCTCCATGGGGGCAGGTCCAAATGGATCCCTGGCAGGCATCACAGAGCGCTCAGCAGGAGGTGCCATCACACGAGCAGGAACAGCAGCAGTTCGCCTCTTCGTGAAGACCCGCAGCAGATTCTCACTATTGAGTGCCTGATTCGGAGATCCGATGCCAGCATTTCGATGGCTTTGTGTTCTTCTTCGGCGCTCGGCTATGATCCGCGCGAGAAAAGAGAAAATGGGGGCCGGGCACTGGGATCGAGTTGAGTGCAGTCTGTTGTTTCAAGCGGATTTATGGGATCTCACAAAACATAGAGACCGGGAGGGCTCGGCGGTGAGGAAATCATCGAGCACGCCGAGGTCGAACGGAGTGGGATTGTCTGAAGGCACATTCGGGTAGAAAGTGAGATTCCTGGAAGAAGAAGCTGATCACTTCGGTGCAGCGCCTCGGATATGAGAGCGAGGGTGATCCTGCGAGAAAGAGTGATGCAACCACGGGGAAGAGGATGAACTTTGCGATGTTTGAGGAGTCGCCGTGAAGATAAACTTATGAAACATGCGGCCTGAAGAGGCCGGCCATGAAACTGGGCAGCCCACATGTTCCTCACTTGCTCTCTTGGCATGGAGCAAAAGCTTTAGCAAACTAGAAACTATAGCAGCCAGGAAGACGATATCAATGCACCTGATCTTTCCACCTGATGAAGAACAAAACGTAAAAACAATTCGACTTTTTCCAACCTTGGGAGAAATCTTGATCGAGGAGCAGCAAATGTTGGCACACATTTCATGGAGCCGGACATGCTAGCAATGTTTTCCTTTATTAATGAAATCGAGCAGTCCCAGAAAACCACATCGCATGATTTATACGAGAAATTGAACACCTCACCATAGACTGATATCTTCGTCACGCATCGTCACGACGCATGGCGATGCCGTAGCACTCCCACAACCTGGTGATAAACAGGTGCATCCGCAGGATCAATCCGCCGGGCTGAGTGGCAAAAGTTGATATCTTCGCCGTTCCCTGGACGAGGCTGAACTCTCCAGTCCCGCCGACGATGGCGATCTCTCTCACCTTCTCCGGGAAATGGTTCTGGCCCAAGAGGCTGATGATCCCCCGCCGGCCCTTGATCTCCACGGTCATGGTCTGCAGAAACGAGGTCGCGTTGGAATTCAGCGAGTCCCACACAAGCGTGCCCCGGGCGCTTCCCACAACCGTGGAGTTCCGCGAGGGCCTGGCGGTGAGGATATCATCCAGCACGCCGAGACCGAACGGGGTGGGATTGTTTGGGGGCACGATCGGATAGAAGGAGAGATCCTGGAAGAAGACGCTGATAACTTCGGTGCAGTGCCTCGGATACGAGGATGATCCTACGAGAGAGAGTGATGCAGCCGCGCAGAAGAGGATAAACTTTGGGAAGGCCGCCATAGCTGCAAGCGAGGAGATGAGATGGCTTGTCCGGTCGCAGATTGCTCGGGTTATAAACTGGTCGTCCCACATGTTTCTCGCTCGCCATCGGCGTTAAATTTTATTCGCCATTGAATGTTGGAACATGCAGACCATTAATTTGCTGTACTTGAAATCCTATTCAATTATCAGTAACATGAAGCAAAACTTTTTAATTTAAGCTTTAGAATATGCGGTCTCAGACAAGAGAAACTTGTGTTTTAGGGTTTATCCATCAAGGATCGGCTCTGCCAAATCGCGAATGTAGGCGATGGCGATCCTGGAGCTCGGGCGCGATTGCGTCCGCCAGGCCTCAGGTACGCGCTCGAGAAAGGCTTTCGCGCGGGCTTTTTGTTCTTTCCAGGCTGAGAGATTGCAATGCGGCAGCGCCAGGAGTATTCCGGGGAGGATTATTGGAGCTGCATTAGCGGCTTCTCTATGCTGTGAATCCAGCGCTTCCAAGGTGAGATTTTTATTAAAAAAAACGGAACGATTTTTTTTCATAAAACGTTGGCATGATCATCAGCTTTGCAGTGACAACGAGCATGGAGCAGGAAATACTCCCCATTCCAGAGGAGTTTCCCCCGCTGCCCGACTTTTTCTTTTCCACCATACGAAATGGTGCGAAAAACGATTTGTAAACAAGCTAGTTGTTGTTTTATTAGATTGTACTAGACAACGGTCTCCGAGTTTTCGTGCTCGAGGATCATGAGCTGGGACTTGTAAGTTCGGCTCTTGCTTTTGCGCTCAAGGAACTGATCCTTTTTATTTTTTCTGTTTCCAGGAAGGCGGAGGAAACTTAGAACCGGAAGGAAAGGTGATTGCTCTGTTTCTTATAATCTCGCGATGTTTCTGATATAAAATCTCACGTCTGCTGTGCAAAGAAGTGGAGGGACTGCGTTACATCCAAGCGATTCATTAGATTTAGAACTGGAGGTAAAGTTGTCAATGTACAAGCTATTTCTTATTTACTTTTCTATTTTGCAGTCCATGGCAGCTCGAATAGAAGCATCGTCCAGTGGTGGGAGTATGGGTGTCGGCTGTCGTTGCCTTGAGGACGACCTCAAAACTGTGTTTTCTATATTTTCAGATGGTATGGCCGTTGAAAACTTTGAATTCCTCCTGAGGTGTTTGTTCTGCAGTCGTCCAGAGGCCAACCATGCCTAGAGAGAAGCTAGAACTTGTTGGAGGACAGCTTCTGGGCTATATCTCTTGACGTAGGCGAGTAGCATCTGCAGGCGATCTTTTTAAAATATGTTTTCCTTCATCAGGCTGAAACTTCGGCTACAATCGGGTTGCAAAAGCTGCTGTATGGGGATAAAAGTATTTATGCTCGATTGCCCGAGCAAAACACGGTGAGATCCAGTTTTCGTAACGACCTGGTTGCATTTCACAGACAGGTTTTCCGGTGAGCCATTCCAGTTTTTCTTTGTGCTTCCGTCGTCATATTTTACTTACTGGCCTGACGCAGCTGTGTTAGGAATTTGGGGTGATTTTGACTCTTAGTCGCTGATTGAAACGGAGTTTTCAACATGACGGACGCCAGAAAACACAAGGAGCAAGCTTCTGTATGTTCGGCAGGACTGTGGAGCTTTTTCACCAGCAGGCTTTTACCAGTCAACACCATGCCCCAACTTGGTACCAGCATTTCTAAGCCAAATGTGTACCTCGTGGCTTAACTCAAGGGTATGCACAAGAATCACGAGGGTACTAAATAAGATGTGAATGTAGATATGTTCGTATGGGGGAGCTTGGAACTACGATTGCGGATCCTGATGTGTTTGCTTTGGACGTTTTCAACGGCGTGCTAAATGGTTTTGGGGGCCTCCTATTTGACGAGGTATAGTGCTTTTCTCAGTCTTGGTGATTGTCCTCAAAACGTTATCCTTGTAGATTCGATCGAAAGAAGGTCTGGCATATTCAGTAGCTGGAGGATGGAGTGCTTCGATCGATCACAGGGTTAGCTTTTCTGATTATAGATTTAAAGCAACGTTTTAAAATGTCTCGCTCAATGTTATATAAGGGTGTTTTCGTCGCCGGAGGAGAAACTCAAGTTCAATCTATTCCCAAGTTTCTAAAAGCCGTCAAGGCAGTTTTGGTGTCAATTGTCGAAGCACCTGTTCCTGAAGGCTAGATTTGTCGTGCATGCACTATTGAAACCCTTCCCTGCATTGCAGAGAAGCTGTCTCAAGCCAAAGAAGCTGCTGTAAATTCTTTTGTTTTCAATTATTCAAGTAGGTAAACTTGCGATTATATCTACCAAAGTTATCAACATTCGTCTTCTGCAGAGAATCCCAGCTAGCACGTGTCCTCATATACGATCTATTTGGAATCGATCAAAACCTTCCTCTCACTTACAAAAAGAAGGTTGAAGAAGTAACGAGCAATGACATCCTGGAAGGCGCAAGAAAACATCTTCATCCCGACTTGGAGCCAATTGTCATTGTTACTGACGCGAAGGCACTTGGGACTCAAATGCCACCTTTTGTGCAACTGCAAGGACGATAAAGCTACGCGCAGGCAAGTATTATTTCTGCTTTGCCATCAGAGAGTGGCACAATGGAGGACTTGGATTCCTACTCACAGTCTTTGTAGACAGGTACTTGAAGAGTCTGGAGTATCCAGTGGCATGGGAGTATCGCAGCAGATGAATGCTCGATCAAAGAGTAAAATTTCTTCTTGTGTTATGTTATCCTATGCCGCTTATTCTCTAAACAGGTGCTTTCGCCAGGTCGTCGACGAGATGATGGAACGAAGCGTACTTTCGTGGCCGTCGTGTACCCGCAGGCCATGGGAGCAGCGAGGAGATTTCTGTGAACATTCGTTTCAAAGCTTACCGGGTTCTTTTTGACACTTCAAAGTCCACTCTATGTCCTGTCCATAGTTGCCGGAAAACGTATGAAACTAAAAAAACGTAACGTTTTAAACGCGTTAAAAAACGCCGTTCTAAACTCCCAACGCGTTTGCACTATTTGCAAAAAGAGACAAAGGTTTCTTTAGGGTTTCTTCAGGGTTCATGCAGGAATTGGAGGACGCCGCGAATGCTGGAGCTGGAAGCATGTGATACGAGCAGAGCGGCACTGGACATGTAAGTATTGTCATGAGATTCAAGTGAGTGCGAGCACATCTTGCTGGAGTTCGGGCAAGAGGTGTGAAAACGTGCAAGGCAATGAGGGAGATCCCTTATGAAGTTCTTAAAAAAGCTCGCAGCAGTTTTTCCGATTTCGAGCTAGCAGACCCAGCAGATGCCGATGATGGGCATCTGCTGCAGCAAGCCTCACAGGGTTCAGGGGGGCCAGTAGAATCTATGGTGGCAAGCACAGAGAACTGGTCCAGTGCTGGGACAAGCAAATGGCTTCTTCTTTCATTTGTTTTAATATGTTATTCGGTTGGGTTTTATAAGCTTAATATCAGATTAAAGTGTCTTTCGTAAATATTAGTGTTTTCTTAATCATTTTAGGCTTTAACATGTAAACGTTTGATTGTCCTGAAAAAAACGTTTTAAACGGCGTTTAAACGTGGACGCGTTTGAACGTTTGCACGTCTAGCTGCAACTATGGTCCTGTCTCCTCGGGTCGTGGTAAATCCTACTGATATTTTTTATGATTCCTGTTGTCGGCTGGATCAAGAAGATCATGAGCAGTGTCTCCTGAGCAGAAAATGTGGCTGGTGGATCGTCTCCTCATTTTCACGCTCAGCCTCTTCGCTACACCAGCTATTACGTGTAGATCGAAGATAAAATAAGCTCTCATCTCAACTCGACAGGGTTCTTGAGCCTCAACTGTGGAGCGTTACCCGACGACACCCTTGAAGCTACAAACGATCTCAAATTGTTTTGGATTCCAGCAAGGCTCAACCTCGGAGTAGTTTCGGATTCAGATATCAGGTGTTTCTCAGAATATTTGTGTTTCCTTTTCTCGAAACGGTAGACTGAAAACCTGTTTTTCCAATTTTTTTTTGGTTTTTTGCATAAGCTGTCTCAGTCGCAGCACATCCTTACGATATAATAAAGTTTCTCTAATGATCAGAATTTTTCCCTACTTATACGTACTTAGATGTCCTTGATGTTGGACGGAGTCTTGTGAGGCTCGTTTCAAAAGGTCTATTTTAATGCAAATGGACTTTCAGAAACATTTCAAAGTCTACTCTCCTTGTAGTTAATTTTTCTATTACCACAGTTTGACGCTTGGTATCCTGGCCAAGTATATTTATGAAAGAAAACAAATTTAAAATAAAGTGCCTTTAATAACCTTATGCCAAGAAACCATTTGGTGGCCACTGCCATTCCTTCCTTTCATCCAAGGCTAAATGGTTTGTGAACAAAAGAAACTAATAAGAAGTATTAGAGATACATTGTCAATGTTAAATTTAAAAGAAGGATGTTTTAATCACTTGGGATATAAGTGTATGATTATGATGCCATATACTAATATTAATGTAAAGTTCTATTTTGTTAAAGTGGGAATTGTCATTATCCCACTTGTAAAATAAGGTTTCCAAACCTTTATATAGTATATAAATATAACAAAATTCAATTGCATTAAGGCACATGCCATTTTATTTTAAACAAGGAAATGTCTACTCAATCACTTCTCCTCCCTCTGCCACTGCTTCACCTCTCTCTTCTCCTTGTCATCGTCGTCCAATTTCTTTCCATCCTTTTAATATTGGCTCAGTTGCTCCGAGTCTAGGTGGAGCCCAAGTCCCTATTCAATCTTTACTTTCCCCTTATTAATAAAATAACTTCGTAGACTTCCAATAACATGCTGTAACACTTCTAATATGATGCAAATCCTCTCAAAGAATTGTCTTTTAATATTAATACAATGGCATGGAACCCTATGCCATAATAAGTTACATTTTTAAATAAATACATGCCATCTCAGACTGTTCTTTTTTGCCTCCAACGCCTATACAATAATCTTGGAATTTCATCACTCTCCACACTATCAGGATTTAAACCCAATAGTAATGCCATCTCTTCTCTAATACGTCCACGCTCATGTTCAGTGGTCGAAGAACCCATCCGGTTGAGCAGATTATGGAGATGCGGATAGTGCTTGGCTAGACAATATACATGCCATAAATGATGACTGGTGTCTGTCCGATCAAATGGCTTCTAATATATCGTTCCATTTGCCATTTGGTTGATTTCTACAGCCACCTCCTGGACTGGCCAGTTCTCTATCACCATTGCTCCAAGCCGTTTTGCAAGGTCCCCCAGAACATATGGTTTCTTCTCCCTAGTTTCCATACTGCAAGAGATGGGGTGCATTGCATATGTGTGCGTGTTCGCTGCAGTTTTAATTGGCGAGTCATCGATGATAAGGATTTCACTTGACCTCGCAGTCCGGTTCATCACTACAGCCTCTGGCTTGACGAAGATGGGCTTGTTACCCCTCACATGGACCATAGTCAAGCAATCCTCCTGCGTTAGGAGAAAGTCAAATGGTAATATTACTTGCGTCTGATCGTGCATCATCTGTAGCAACGTTAATGCATTGTGGCGCATCATGGACGTCCAAACTCCCAATTGCAAATTGAACTCGGCCCTCTATTTTAAGTGTCGCATGGTCATTATTAGATCCTGCAGTTTCTCCCATATGATTAATGTGAATCTGTCTCTTTTGACCTACTTGCGACCGTAGGCTTTGGAGGGTGCAATGACATTCGAGGACGAGCCACGCTCATGGGAGAAAAGGACACTGTTCAGATCAAAAATGATACAGTACCTTCGTCGTGACTCTGAAATGAAATGCGTCAGCATAAAAAATGGTACAAGTCAATTTTACCATCTACAATATTAGCGAATGGTGCTCCCGATGGTCGTTGAGAGGGTTTTGGTCGAGGAAACGTGAAGGGCGGAAATACTCTCCTTTGCAATGTGGGGTCAATCGCATCCGATGGCGTGTGGGCACATGCCATTTCAGCTGTAGACTCTGGTACAACTAGCTCAATAGTGGCATGGGGTGGTTCCGATGGCGTGTGATCACACACCATTTCAGCTAGTGCCTCCGTTGGCAAAGTGGACATGACCGAACAGGCAGCAGGGGCAGTGTAGGGAGGTTCCAACGGCGCGTAGTCAGACGATTGGGCACACGTTGAGTCCGTTGGAAATGAGGATACGACCGGCTCGGTGGCTGGGGCGGCCTCATGTGGGTCCAATGGCGCCTGGTGACCGTCAGTTGGATACGTGGACAAGATTGACTCAGTGGTATGGGCAGCATCAAGTGGAGCATGGTCAGCTTGCTTGGCGTTGATATGGATAGTAGCCTCCACCAGCTCCGATATCACTTGGGCGCACTGCTGATTCTGAAGGATTGGACATACATTTCGACCCTTGCTTGGCACTATCCTTCTTCGACACTAAAGGCTAGAGTTTGTATCTTAATTCAACTGAATAATCTCTACTTACCATTTGCTCTGCGACCTACTTGGACAATGTTAGAAATGGTAAAAGGTTAGGAATGGATGTACTATTATTTACCTGATGGTTTGTCTTGTATGACCTTCCTCTGCTGCTCTTTGGCCACCTCAGGCTGGCCATCATTGTCATCATCGTCGTCGTCGTTATTGTGATCGTCACCATTGTGAGGACCATCCAAGTCCTTTTCGTCCTCCTCTTCTTTGTCTTCCTCTTCGTCCTTCTGCTCTTCCTGCTCATTATCTTTCTCTGGCTCCTCATCCCCCTCCTGCATTTCTTCCATAGGCTGCTCAGGCTGGATGGCTTGTTCTTCTAGGACCATCTTGGGAAAATCATCTGGCCGAGTCTCCATCTCAAAATACAAGACATCCATAGCCTGTTTTAGTGCGTGACCTAGGACCGTATCCTCACCCGACTGTCTTAACATGGTTTCTGCATGTTCTTGCACCCTTCGAAGACGACGAGATGAGAAAAACATGGCCCTAATTTGAAAAGCATCCCTCATCCATTATACCTCTCCATTGAGATTGGGGAAGGGGAGTCCGCCATAGGAATCTGAGTCAGGAGGTGGTGACTGGGTGCTTTCACTCAGCCCTTGATTTGCAATGAATGGCATGAGCACACACGCCATAACCGCGAGGCATTACCTATCATCTTTTCGTTGCCCTTCTTCCTTTTCGAATCAAATGCCTCTGATCCCGACGACTGTCCAACGTGCTCACGTGACCTTACCTTGTGCAGGTTGTGAGCTCGGCCCAACATGGGTATCTTCAACAGTAGTTGTTAACGCCGTTTCAGCATCTGGGGGTGGCCACACTCCTGCATACAGAGCTTGTGTTTAAACTTAAAGTGCGTACTCACCAGGTTCGCAGAGAAGATATTGTTTTTCTTTGGCAACTGTAATTATATGCTCCATTGAAGTCACCTCTTCAATGGAGTTTGTCACCGCAACACACGGGACACCCTTGAGTAGTGCGGCTCAAAAGAATAGTCCGCCACAGTTGTACTCGACAACGCATTTGCCCTTGGAGTCGGAAGCAGGTGACCCACCCGCTATTGCGTTGAAGACCCAGCT